AATTTACAATAAAGAGTTTTGTATACTTTATTATTATTTGTAAATTGTGTGCTACACATCCTTTATATCAGTAAAATTTATAATAAAGTTAAATACACACATAGATGCATACTTTGGTTAAACATTTACCAGCACATCACTGTCTTCATCAAACAATTGAAGGCTCTGGTCCCCTTTATACCTTTCCTGGCATGATTGCCATTGCCTTCCCAGTTTTCCCACTTGAATCCCAGGACAATCCAAAGTCCACATGGCTTATCTTCCAGGTATATTTGTAACCTGCATTGCTTTCAATGAACTACTCAGATCTGCTCTGTAGCCAATGTACAGGAGGCTTTGGTAGCTTCAACAACAGGCTTCTTTATTGCTTCGGAACATGAAAACATACTGACTGCTGGAGAACTCCAACACAAGAGAGAGAGTGCATGCAACCCCAGCTTCCCACAAAGGGCTGTCACTTGCATGATTTGTAAACATGTCAAGAAACCAGACTGCATGTGAACAGGTATGGGAGCTAAAGTACCAGGAACAGTACCAGGAAAGGAAGTCCAGTTATGAGGGCAAAATGCATGTTCACAAGTCCTGATGAGATTGTTTGAAGTAAACTACATAGCTGTATAGCACTCCTGCAGTCATCACCATGACAGAATCTATGTCTGTAGTGTGAAGAGATGAGCATTCACAGAAAGGGACATCACCAAGCAGGTTAGGGGGCAGGGGAATAGTCATGGAAAGTATAGTTAATCATGTGAACTAGAATAACTCTAAAAGATGCTGTTTCTGTAGCCCTTTTCAGTCATTACTTTGGGTGTATCCAACCATGCATACAACCATTATCATCCACCCTCCCAGTACACAGTTAGCATTTCATCTGCAGAGGGTACTCTGCATATTTTCTGCTTCAAGGGTGAAAATGTGCATGTTGTTCTAGTCGGACGAAATGACAACTGAGTTAGCAGATCATAGGCAGTGCACACCTCTGATTCTTTCAGTGCAATACCCCAAAAAACATAAGGATGGAAAAGGCCTTGTGTGATGGGGAAGTGTTTAAACCCAATAGTGATTAGTATGCTGCTGCTTACGTCAACAAAGAAATAGAGAAGCAGAAAAGTTTTGAAACTGTTGTTGCTGGAGACAATAGTGAAGGTTTCATAGATGTCAACTGACAAGAAAATAGTGTACCGGGGCAGATTGGCCCTTGAACTTTCCAGCAAAGTTGCTGATGTTACTGCTCTGCAGGGCTACTGTTGGACAAGAGCAAGCTGAGCCAAGTTGAGTGAATCTACACTTGTCATCATCGTCACAGTCCTCCTCTGAGCCAGCACCGCAGGAACCACTCAGCTCAGCTTGCTCTAGGGCTTGTTTTAGCCTCCTAATCTGCCCCTGATAGCGTAAGAATTCTTATGGACACTCCTCTTGTACTATCCTTGATTTTTGACCTCTAGAAGTTTGAATCAATATTGTGCCATTGTTTGATTAAAAATTTGGAAAAGTGGAGATAGGTTTGATTGGATTTGTTTTCTGGAAGAGAAGAACTGAAAGAAAGAGGAAGCTTGAGAAATGGAGAAAAGAACTCACAAACAGTTCCAAGGAATAAGGGTAGTGATTTGAAATTGGCTGTGCACATCCCATGAGATAGGGTTGGGTGAAGTATTGAATATCCATAACAGAGTACTAACAAATGTTGCTAGCTTCCCAATACTTGGCTTTGCGCCTTTAAAATCCATCATCAGGTATTGTCTCTCTTGATTAGATATAAAAATTAGATTAGATGACGAAAACATGAACACCTTTGTTTGCATGTCTGTTGCAACTAGACTAAGTCTGAGTAGAAGAGTGTGTAATGCAAAGAAACTCATCACATGCCTCTTATTACGAGAGTTGTGAAATCTGCAGTCTTTCCCTCAAGTCATACACTTATTAATGTAAAGATGAGCAGCTAGAGCTTAATGGAATCAGAGTCATTTGTTTGTCTGTTATGTAAGAACACCAAAAGTTCACATTATAATATTCTATTGTGTTACCCAATCCCTTTTAGTCCCCAGTCACCAAAAGCCAGTTTGAATTAAAATGTTACGCTTCTTTCAGAATATCTGAACTCTAGCTTTGGGGAGTCTCCAAGGGAAAATATTTCCCCTCAGCCAATAAGAGTACATCTCTGGCATGCCCTTGCAATCCTTACTTGATACAGAGATGGTTTACTCTGGGCTGTTTTTTAGGTATACTGAGTCAGGCCATTTGGGACTTGATAGATTATCACCCGCACCTTGAATGGAGCCTGGAAGTCAATAGGGAGCTACTGCAGCAAGCAATAAAACTGTTGCTTTAGAACCCAATTATTTAAACCATGCTTTTATTCTATAAATAGCAGTGGCTTGCAGGGGAGGGTGGAATAGAAGACGGGCTACAGTTTGAAAAGGAGATACTGAGGAGCTTTATTTTGGTGTTGAGTTAGCAAAAGCATGAGTGAAAAATAGCTCCAAATAAGAATCCCCAGGGCATCTCTAGAGAATTGTAATGTGCCCATAGCTTTTTGTGTACATCCTCAAGGGGGGGGGGAATAACCCATAGCCTTCGTTAAAATTAATTTTTAAAGTGTTTACATTCAAATATTAGAGCTGCCTAATGTCCTTCATTTGAACATAAATTATAAATGTTCGCCAAAAAAATAAAAATGAAGATTGTGCATTTCAATTGTTAAATTATTTATCGTTATTTGTTTCTGCAAGCCACTGACTTACAGGTTTGGATGTGACATAAATTACATCTTATTGGTCCATTTGCTCACACACACACACACACACACACACAAAATAGCACCAACACTAGAGACTGTTTGAAAAATCAGAGCTTCCACATCCTCAGTCCTGTTGAATTGATGCATTCTCCATTTCTTTGAAATGGATTTCTCAGGAAAACATGATTGAGGATTTCCATGTAGTACCCTAAAACTTTTAGAGCAGGCCAAAAATGAGGATAAACAGATTCTAAAGTGTGATATTTGGATGCACTGGGCTAAGAAATATGTGTTGAACCCACTTCTGCCTATCTGATTATTTATTTTTAATTTATTTTCAACAGTTACATGCTGCTCTCTTGGGCTTGCAAGGTTTGAAATCCAGCACTACATGCCCTAAAACATATTAAGCAAAATACCTGGCGCATTAAAAATTGCAGTTCTAGTCAAATAAACTAAACTCTAAAAACTGTTATAAATAGAATAAATAAAGCAGTGGCCAGTACAGTATACTGGTGAAAATAGGACTTGGTGGAACTGGGGTTGGATCTGGAATAGATTTTCATGTGGCAGAATGGAATTTTCCTGCTACCCCCTCACCAACTCACTGATCTCCAAAAAAATGCTGTTGGGGGGACTCAGAGAAATCACATTTGGGAGGTCTTCAGTGGGAAGGGGGAATCGGTGGAAATTGCCAAGCTCATCTGGACCCAGTCCCTGGCATTTAAAGGTCCATTCAGCCATGGAGCTCACTGGATGCCATTTGGCCTGCCATTTCCTGCCAGCTCAAACTGTCTCACTGTGTAGTTCTGATTATATAGGCTTGCCAAGCCCCCGCTGGGGGCGGATAAATTCCTGCCCAGGAGGCCTGTTACCTGCTGCCGGTGGATTGGGCCCCGGGGGGAAGTCCATCCCCTGCCGGAGGGCGTCCCCAGCATGATGATGTCACCCAGAGGCCACATTATCATGCTGGCCACGTTGTGTGGGGGAAACTCTGTGAATCGAGGGAAAACTCTATGGTTTTCCCTCGAGTCACGGTGCCCCGCCCCCAACATGGGTGACGCGATGATGTCACTTCCGATGACATCATTGTGGCATGTGCGCGCAAAGCGCGTGCACATGAAGACTCCCGACAGAGCCAGGAATTCCCCCGTTTTGCAGGTAAGTCAACTTGGCAACCCTATGATTATATGTGGAGGAAGAAGAGACTATGAACACCACCCTGAGTTCCTTGGAGAAGGGTGGGTTAAAAATGTAGCAAATATGATTCAAATAGAAATTACTGGTCCCCACCACCAGAAAGGTGCAAGAATGCTATAACCACACACATGAAGCTGCCTTATACTGAATCAGACCTTTGGTCCATCAGAATCAGTATTGTGTATGCAGACCTGCAGCAGCTCTCCAGGGTGTCAAGCTGAGGTGTTTCACATCACCTACCTGATCTTTTTAACTGGAGATGCCAGGGACTGAACCTGGGACCTTCTGCATGCCAAGCAGAGGCTAAGCCAGTGAGCCACAGCCCCTCCCATATAATAAACTCAGCTCTCTAGAGTTTTCATATACATACCTTACCTGAGAAGTGTAGGACAGAGCCATGAGGAAGCAGCAATTTTGCCGGTATGAGAATAGGCCCTTCCTCAGTGCCCCGAGGCACAATTCTGGGAGAAGCCCATACCCGCTCTTACTTCCACCTATGGTCAATTCACTTTCACACTTTTCATGTGTTTTGCAGGCCACAGAACACAGGTGGCCAACTGCTCTATTCTCAAGAGCCATTTTGTTCCCTGGGGTGGACCTTTCTTGTAGATGGTCTTGCCCATCTTGCCCACAAGTCACAGGCTGATTTAAGATATTGGGCAAGAAAGCTAGTCTGCATCTACACGCTGTTGGATACTGTGTTATCTTTGCTTTATAGCAACCATTTGCAACTGGATTGGCTTCTCCATGTAGAGTAAGTTTCAAATGATTGCTATTGGGCATTGATAGGGCAGAACCTAGTGATGTGCAGATGTAGCCCAAAAAAGGACAAATGACTATGCACTGCTAAAGAACATGTGAGATGGTAAGGAAACGGAGCAGAGGTTAATTAGTACCCCAGGTATCAGTCCTGATGTAGCCCATTTGTAAAGAGAAGACCACTGGGGTGTCACAACTCACTGAGTATTTGTTCAAAATCATGGATCAAAATGTGGTTAAATTAGTGAAGACCAAGTTAGGTGAACAGATGGACCTAACAGAGATTTGTTTTTCTCCTGTACAGCGGCCTTCCATTGACGACAACACATAACGCCATCTTAGTACATTCCAGCGGAGGCTCTGGGAGCTCCAGTGAATCTGAGAGCAGCTCTGAATCTGATTCAGACAGTGAAACCAGCTCCAGTGACAGTGAATGCAATGAAGAGTCACGCAGTGGAACTCCAGAGGTAAAACCAAAGGGTTTTTGCCCTCCCCTTGGGGAAGGGCTATGGCTCTATGGCGGAGCACATGCTTTGAATGCAGAAGCTTCCAATGCTCCTGAGCTTCTCCATGTGAAGGATCTCAAACTGGTTTTGAAAGATCATTCTCTGCCTTAGAGCCTGGAAGGCAGCTGCTAGTCAGAGCAGACAGTGCGGAGTTTGATGGAAGAGTCATCTGGCTCGCTAAGGGCGCTTTCATAGAATCCTCTCTGAAGTTAATTCATACAGTTAGCATTGGTTTTCACAAAGGAATATCTCCCTGCCTTTTGTAAAAGCAAAACTTGAGTGTTTTTGAAGAAATAATGCAGTCCACTTGCTTACCAGTTGATGACAGGGAAAAAATAGTCTGACCAGTGTCCAGCGGCAAGGCTGTTTTTGTTCCCCTGGGCAGTTTTCCTTTTAGCTGCCCCCTTTAGGAGAATGCAAATGTTTTTAACATGGATTCTTCCCTCAAGTCTGCCCAAGGCCACTGGACTCTACCCCCCTCACTACATCCTGGGACTTTGAGAACTTGGCCCATGTTTTGTTTCAAGAGTTGGCAACTCTAAATCCATGTAAACGTTATTTTAGTTCACCATTTCAGACAGAAGGTGGCTGGACTTCTTATGGTTATTATTATACAGAGCATCATTTCCTGACTGTTTCTTCTACTGCAAGATTACCATCTTGATTCACAATCAATGCACAGTGGAGCACTGCATTTAATCGTTCTGGTCATCTCATAAATATCCGTTCAATACCTGGAGTGGAGATTTAGGAATCACACTGCCAGTTATTTGTTCTATATTATTTGAAACAAAATCTGCAAACAGCTGCATTGCAGAATGTTTTACAGAGGACATGTAAGCAATCTATGGATATTTTGTTGCATCACCAACAATTATCCCATCACCCAAGACATTAATATTCTTGAATCCATACAGATTTAGGTACCACTACTATTATCCTTTTAATGCATTTGTTTGACCATTTCATATTATTCAAGCATGGTTTATAGAATTTGGGAAATTGCTGTTTTGATAACAATCTCAGCCTATTACATGAGAGTTAGTGAAGGAAGTTTTTATGGATTATCGTGCAGTAGAATGGTAATCATTATTGATCATGCTTTGCCATGATATTTATCTATCTATCTATTCATTTATTCATAACATTTATGTGTTGCATTCTCTGCAGTGCATCTGAGGCAGCTTGAAGCATAAATGTATTTATTGCATGTACATTAAATGTATTTGTATCCCATCTTTCCCACCATCGCTATCACTACAATAATAGAGCAGCAACTTTACTGTTACAATATATAATTACAGAGTTAATAATACTTATTATATATTGCAGAAATCTCTTGAAATCTCTAAAATAAAACTACAGTTGTAATAAAATCATATTAAACAATCAAAAATCCCTCCTTTAAAGTGTTTTGATACAAAAAAAAAGGGTTTGTGCCTTATACCTAAAAGAAGACCAAGATGTTACCAGCTGAACCTCACTAGGCAGTTCCATGGTGTGGCAATAGGGTTGCCAAGTCTGGGTTGGAAAATACCTGGAGACTCTGGGGGTGGAGCCAGGAGAGGGTGGGGTTTGGGGAGGGGAGGGGCCTCAGCATGGTACAATGCCATAGAGCCCACCCTTCAAAGCAGCCATTTTCTCCAGGGGAGCTGATCTCTGTCGGCTGGAGATCAGTAGTAAAAGCAGGAGATCCCCAGGCCCCACCTGGAGGCTGGCAACCCTATGTGGCAACCACTACTGAAAATACCCTGCTCTGCCCCAGTGTATAAAATGTATACAAAAGAAGCAGGCTTTTACAATCACATGTATAAGGATTAGTAGAGGGGGACACTTAGAAGGAGATGGACATTCAGGTATATGGGACCAAGCCCATGTAGGTTTCAGGATGATCTACCCCATTCCAGTGTTCTCTGAGATCTAAAATCAATATGAAATTTGTTAACATTGCTTCTTTTTCACTGGTATGTAATGACCTTGGAGAAAATATGTTTTAAAATTTGCTGCCCATCTGTAGTGCAATGTAGTAAGCAGTAGCCATTGTCTAAGTGAAACAGAAGTCAGAGTTGAAAATGCAATGTTCATTGAACTTTTAAAAGGGTTGCTTGTTTGTCATTTCTCCTTCTGCAGCCTGAACCCCCCTCAGCTAACAAATGGCAGCTGGATAAATGGTTGAACAAAGTCAATCCCCACAACAAGACCATTATCAGCAACCAGCATGAGAACCACAGTGAGAACAGCTCTCAATCTCAGAGCAACCCACCGACTGAAGGACAGAACAAAGGGAAGCTGAGCGGCAGCTTGACCCTGACTGATTCCAAAGACAGGGCACTACGTAGTCCCATCCGTGAGAAAGCCAAACCCCGGGTTGCCCAGAAAGCTCCAGCAGAAGCAAAAAGCTCAAAGCAGAAATCACCAGCTCACAATGAACCCCCCACCCAAAGGACTATGGGGAAAAAACAACCCAAAAAAGTAGAAAGGACTTCCAGTGCCGAAGACTACAATTGGCCCAAACCAAATAATACCAGCAGCACACCCAAAGAGAAGGAAACGCAAGAGTCCCAAGATCAGCCAAAAGTTCGCACCAAGGTGACGGCCGGGAAGACTGCTCCAAGGAAGGAACCAAGGACAAGCGTGGGGCCTCCTCCCGAGAAAAAGAAATACAGAGGCCCCAGCAAAACTGTTCCCAAATCACGAGAATTCGTGGAAACAGATTCGTCCACCTCTGATTCAAACACTGATCAGGAAGAGGGCCTGCAGGCAAAGAACTTGCAGGCCTGCAGTGGCCCTGATAATAGTATTAAAGTGAAGGACTCCAGCAGTAACATCCTCAGCGTAAGTAGCTTAACGAGCAACAGTAGCAATACCTCCATTGACCAAAATGGCAACGATTTAGAGGAGCAGCTTTTCTCACCTATCCCAATTGTGCAGAGTGAACCCCTTTCCCCACTCAAAGAGTTTGAAGAACTCAAAAACCTTTGGGTGAAAATAGACCTGAGTTTACTCTCTCGGATCCCTGGACAAGACCCCTTTGAGAGCACATCTGGGAAAGCAGAACCCCGCGAGGTTAACACGAAGCACAGGCGACAGTCCCGCGAGTCCCCGACACCAGCTGCTGAAAAATCCTCCACTAAATCAAAAAGGAAGCACAAGGTAATCTATCTCTTTATAGTGTATGGGGAACTGTTTGGTTGTTATCTCTCAGGAAAGCGAGGGTGTCAGGACACAGCCAGCCTTTGCTCACTTGGCCTTTTAGTCTCCCTCTGGAAAGCTATTCCCATACAGATGAAAAATGTACATTGATGGCACTGAACCAGTAATTCCCAAACTGTGCTGAGGCACACTAGTATGTGGAAGAGAAATGCTTGTATTCTGTGAGATAGGTCCTTTTCAAACTGCCTTTGTATTCTGTTTTAGTAACTGGTTGCTAATGGACTTTTTCTGTCTTTTCAGACAGAACCATTTTAGTAACCAGCTGCTAGCAGAATTTATTTACCTGTTCATACAAATCCACCTGCATTGGGTTAGCAAAGCGTGGTTGAGCTGCTTTTGAGGGAAACTGGTTTTTTCTGTTTTCAACCCCTTTGTTGCACTTCTGAATCACTGCAGTGTGCTTTTTAAAATGTCCATAGTGCTTCCTCCAATGCCACTTTTTTACCACCCTTTTTCACCGCATGATCTTTCTCAGACTTTTAAAACAATGTTCTAAATTGAGTGCTATAGCTCTAAACCAATGTAGCACTGCAGTGTTATAGTGAAACCATTGGGATGCCTTGACTCCATTGTCTCAAGGCTAGCCCAATCTCATCAGATCTCAGAAGCTAAGCAGGGTTGGCCCTAGTTAGTATTTGGGTGGGAGACCACCAAGGAAGTCCAGGGTCGCTATGCAGAGGCAGGCAATGGCAAACCACCTCTGAACATCTCTTGCCTTGAAAACCCTATTGGGTCACCATAAGTCAGCTGTGACTTGACGACAAAACAAAAAAATTGTGTGTAATGCTATGTTGTATAAACTGTGAGGCCAGAGATTTTAACACCTGAAAGAAAGTTTAAAGAAGGATTTTCAATTGCTGTTCTTTGTTTTGTGTTTGCTAAAGATAATTCGCATGCATTTCAGAAACAGAAAGGACATTTGGGATACAGTAACTCTCAAAGTTTCCATTTATTTGCCACTTATAACGGTTTCCCAATACTTGTTCAAAGATATCCAGCATTACAATTGGGCTATAGCAATCGGGGTCCACAGTCCTCACACTGTATAGTTCACTCAGCTCTGCCCGCCATCTCTCTGCCTTCATGGTGAAGAATATTTAGCAGTAGTGGCAGCCTTGTAAAATGGCTGTGGTCACAAATATTGTCCTTTGACTGGAAAACTGTGCATCAAGAAAACAAGCTGTTACCCACAAAAGGGGGGGAATCATTCCTCCAAGAACAGTTCCTGAACTTTTGTGACCCTTTAATCCACTATGGACAACCCCCCTTACAGCTTAATGGAAACTTTGGCAGAGGGAAGGGTAAATTTGATTTCTAGGATATGATCCAGCGCATACATATCCTCTAAGACTAGTCCGTCTTCTCCTGCAGGCTAATTTTAGCTGCAAGGGAAGAGTCCCAAGTACCACTTGAGGAGAGGTCATAGGCCTAGAAGAAGCACAGGGACACACATCCTTCATGCTCAGTAGTTCCCCCCAAACCCAGTTTAAAACCCAAGTTAAAAGGCAGAAAGTGGCAGGCCATTTGTTTCCTGTGAGTCAGTCTAATTCTAGTTCCTCATAATGGCACACTGCTTTCTGCTGCCAGGATTCTCTGACAGCACAAAAACAAATTTTATGCAGAGTGGTCAGCTCCTGTTGCTATTGGGAGTTAGGCTTGCCATTTCCGCTGGGGGGGCAGGGGGTTGCCCACTTTTGGGGCCCCTGACCCACCGGCCCAGATCCAGTCAGCAGGGGAACCCCACCCCCAAAGTACCAGGATTGTGGCAACGTGCCCAGTGCGATATCATCATGCCGGGCACGTCACCAGGGGGATGCTCTAGCACTTGGCCTAAAAACTCTATGGTACTGACAAAGAGGCTCCATCCCCCCGCTTGCAGCAAGTAGGGACCTGGCAACCCTATTAGGAGTTGAGAGGAAGGTCGGGGAGATTCCAGCCCACTTGTCCTCTCCCTACTTAGGCTTCTACAAAGTCTGCAAACAGACACCCCACTTTGCTATGATAGAGGATGATGATTTTCCTCAGGAAGCTTAGGGCCAAAATACACAAAACATTTTTTAACAAGTTGTGTTTGGGTTGAGCTGACACAATTCACTCTCACCTCAGTCACACAGCAGCTTCAGGGAATGTCACTTTTAAAGTTGGCAAGAAATTATTTGACTCAGGACAGTGGCGTGAGGGGAGAAGGGGGCTCCTTCTCCTTTTTCCTAAGTGTAAACAGCCTGTGTGGGGAGTTATTTGCATAACTTTGGAGCTACACGTGGAGTATTCTAAGCATGTGCAGTTCCAAAGATATGCAAATAACTCCCACCAGGACCTTTCAGCTCAGGGGAAATGGTGCAGTGGAAGCTGGGGACCCCTTTCCCCACCACCACCACCACCACTGTCCTTATTCAAATCAGCTCCTGCAGGCTTTAAAAGTGACATTTCCTGCAGCTGCTGCGTAACTGAGGTGAAAATAACTTGGGTCTGGGGGAACTGAAACCCAACTTGTAAAAAAATATATTGTGTAGTTGGCCTTTGGGTATTGCTGGTAAATATCGGTCTCCCTCTTCACGCACAGAACATGCAGCCTAGAATAACTGGACATCTCTCCAGGTTTATGATCCATGCCTTGTTTGGAGTAAAGTTTGGGAGGTTGGAGAGGAGCATAACAAAAGGGAGGGGTTTAGAAGATAACTGAAGGGGTGGGTTGTGCAGTGCCCTTCTTGGGTCAAGGTTGTTGCTATATCTTTGTTTGATGGTCTGTTTTTCACTCACTGGAGCACCAAGTCCAGATTTACTGCAGACTTAAACAGGCATGCCTCCATTAAAGTCAACAGTCTGTACTCGCTTGTTACAGTTACTGAGTTCTGCCTTTTAATGTACATTGAAAAATGTGGGGTTTGTTACATAAACAAATGCGATTTATCAAAATGCCATTCAGTAACTTCCCATCCTCTCTTTACAACAGCCACCTGTAAAGCAGAATCTACTGTGACTCGAGAGACAATGCTTTATCATGTGTTTTATGTTATTTATGCCCATGGGGATCCTATCTTGTGGGAAATGACAGCATGCTTCAAACTAAAATGTGTTTTTTAGAAAGGAAACAGAGGTTTTATATCAAAAATGAATATTTGCTGTGTCTGAGTGGGACTTTTTCTTGAATGGGAAATGGCTCTACTTCTGGTCTTTCAGAGTAAAAATGGTTTCGGGATTTTTTAAAAAAGGGAAAAAAGGATGTTATCAATCTTAGCAAATGCAACATCTGTCACTGGTGCCAATTGTGTGCTAAAAATGCCAGCTTTAGTGCCAGAAACAAGGGAGGGAATCCAGCCCAAATGCAGATATAGCCCCTGTGCTAATAATGGAACAGGAGGAATCTGCCAGTCAACCTTCCTAGAGCAAAATTACAGGTTAGGTGTAATTCTCTGATTATTTGTCCTGATGGTTTTTAAGAGAATGCAGCTGCAGGAGCTGCAATTTGAAGGGAGAGATTGAGGCCAGGGAAGAGGATCTATTACTCCTTTCCCCCTTGCTATTTGCCCACCAGAATTCATTACTCCAAAGCTCTTCCCCCTCAAACCACTTGTGCAAATTTATGGGCTTGCATGTTTTCCCCCAGGTAAGGGGGGGGTGATTTTCATCAGGAAAAAGCATGAGGGAAGAGAGTTCAGTAGCCTCCGTCCCCCTACATTATATGTTATCCCTTTAAATCACAGCCCCCACATTTCCATTTTGTTTTTTTAAAATAAATAGATCACATGTAGTTCCACCCTGTTTCAGAGAACCAGGCTGGCTTGATGACGTTGGTTGAATCACCAGTGATTGCTTCCACTTATTCTGCATTCCCTACTCCCAACACACACACACTGCTGTGGCACTTGTTGGGCCTTCTGCAAGATGTCTACCATCCATGGTTTTCCGCAACTCTGCTCTGATTTGATACGGTCTTTTCTGAAACATGCTCATAGCAGGTTTGGGGAGAGCATGCATGAGAAGGTGCAGATTTCCACACCTCTCTGCCCACATCCATCAGCATTCCCCCCCCCCATTCCCCACAACTACCATTGTGTGCTTTTTGCCCGCTACTTTTAATATATCTGAGGCCCGTCTGAGTCAAAGGGCAGAACAGGGAAGCGCAGCGAAACCCCTGCATGAAGGCTCCATTGCTGCTGCAGATGCCTTTGAAGTCATAATGGCTATGACAGCAAACCAGGGAATGGCCCCTGAGTGATTCTGCATTGTCTTTTCCCTCTGTTGTTTTACGAAACCCAAACCCACTTTGGAACAGAAATTCCCCTCTGCATTGCATGCTGCTTTCACTTCCTTTGATCATCAGATTTTTATGGTACCCTGCACACTGCATGCCACTTTCACTTTCTTTGATCATCAGGTTTTATGGTACCTTCTGCATAGATTTATGGCCATTCAGGGGTGACTTTGCAGTCACTGCAGCATTGCCCTGTGGTATTTGAATGTGGTTTTGAGCTGCCCCTTTCCCTCAATGTCGTGAAAATGTGGAGCGAATGCTAGATGCAGAATCGCCCACTCTAAGCCAAGGCTAGCTTGGCATCAAGCAATTCTGTGATTAGTTCATTGCCTCTCCAGACTGTGGTTCAAAGCTGCATTGAAGGAACCACCGTCACTGCAATCCACTTTCATTGTTAAGCTGCAGGCACGGTATGATAAAGGTATTCAAGAGAGGTACTGGAAAATCATGTTCAAAAACAGAAGTCCCTTTCAAGCTAAACAAAAACACAGCTGAATCTGCCTGGCTAATTTTGGCTCAACCCAGGCTGCAATTACTTGGAGGGACATACACTGTGATTGTTTTTATCATCTGCAACGGCAGGGAAAGCTGGTGAGATGACACACAGGGTTTTTAAAGCCATAATTTTCTGGTGTCTGTTGTTGTTGAAGCAGTCTGAGAATTTGGATGCATTTGGGGAAAACAAGAAACAACGCCTGGAGGAGTCGTCTATGTCTTGTCTGCTTCCGCCCTGCATCTCTCCAATACCCAATCACAGAATAACCAACACAAAAGAGTAAGTTTTTCCTGGATATTAAGATGATCCTTTATAATGAGACTCTTCAGAATGACATGCTGCAGAGAGGCTTGTCTTTACTCTTCCCTGTAGTCAAAGTGACATTATAGTCCCTTTATGATTCACACAGCCCTTTTTCAGCCACAGTGGACCGGGATCTTTTTTTATATTAATAAAATACAATTCCCATGCTTTATCAGTAACAAGTATTTTTGTTCATGCAGGTAAACATTTGTCATTCCAAACAACGCTAAGAAAAGGGACATATAAACCCCACAGAATCCATTCATACCTGGATGGCTAATCATCTCTGTAGGAATCTACAAGAGTCCTGCAAATAACCCCAAATAGGATAAAAATGATTCTGATAACAGTGTTTAGGTCATGCTGTTGGACCGACCATTCTCTCGCATGGTTATTGTAAGGATAAAAAGGAGGAAGGGAGGACTGTGTATGCTGCCTCGAGTGGGTTCTCTGGAGAGGCAGCACAGGTGTTTTCTAGATAAATATAGTGCTCTGAGCTTCTTAGAGAAAGGGTGGGATAAAATGTACTTGATCAAATGCTGCAAGCTGCAAGTCAACATGGATGTTGTTCACAAGATATGTGCAGTTAGAATTTGACAGCTTGAAGATGCTACCTGTGATTGTTGTGTGATAAGCTCTTTTAGGCTTTCATCTCCTGCCATTGTCATGCATTACTATCCCAGTACAGATGATAGACCCATGTGGGCACAAGCATCCTGGCCCCACCCGCTGCAGTTGTTGCCATCTGGCAGGACAACTGCATGGAGGAAATGGCCACATGAACTCTCCCTTCCCATGATCAGCAACATTTGGAAAGCAGCACTGGTGATCACAGTAGGGATATGCCCGGCTACTTCCTCCACATGGTTGCACCCTGCAGATGACCAAGCGATAGTGCCCTCTCTCCCTCCCTGCATGTTCAGTGAATTCATGGGGCTGTCCTCTGTACCAGGTTAGTGGGGGTGATAATCGAGGTACATTCAGATGAACATTCTTTTTTCCCCTCTACTGCACAGTGAGATTGCCAAATAGTCTGTAGTGGTCAATCAGGCAATCAGTGCCAAATTTCAGTTTTGCACCTATAGAAATCATGCCACAGACTTCTGCACACACCCTGATAGATATGAAACACATGATAACTGTCATTGCAAATATGATTTTCCTTCTGCTTAGACACTGGGGTAAGGAAGAACAAAGAAAAGGATGGCTATGTATGTGGACAGAGCACTTGGAGATATCCAGTGAAATTAATGGGCAGTATATTAGTATGAAAATAGGCAGCCGCCTAATACTGAGTCAGAACATTGGTCCATGTATCTCAGTACTCTACAGTGATTTGGCAACAGGTCTTCAGAGTCTCAGGGACAGAAAGACCCCCCAGCATCTGTCACCTTTTACCTGGAGATGCTAAGGAGTGAACCTACGATTGTCTGCGTGCAAAGCATGTGCCTTTCCACTGAGCCACTGTCACTCCGCTAGGACAGACATAAAGTATTTCATGCAACGTATAACATACAGAATTGGCCACAAGATATAGTCGTCACTCCGCTAGGACAGACATAACAAAGTATTTCATGCAACGCATAACATACAGAATTGGCCACAAGATATAGTGATGGTAGTTATATTAGACAATTTTTTTCTCAGAGGCTTAAACATGTATAGGTCTCTTGCAGTGCAATAGTAACCAGAGTTACACCCTTCTGTCTGTTGAAGACAGTGGACTTAGAAGGATGTAACTGCTTAAGATGGCGCTGTTAACCATAGTAAGCTAAATGGAACCTCTAGATACAGAGGAAGTATACCTCTAAAGATCAGTTGCTGCTGGAAACAAATGGATGAAAGAGTTCTTGCCTCCATGCCCTGCTGTTTTCATGTTCTCAAATGCATCTGCCTGACCACTGTTGAAAATAAACAGGGTTGTTGTTCTGATCCATCAAATCTCCTCTCCAGTTTTATATTAAAATGAACGAAAAACCAGAAAATGGCTCGAAAGCCAGTTCTTCCCCCCCTTATTTCCCTCAAGTCTATTTAGCTAATTCTTATTACTGCTTATTTCTATAGACATCATCCATAAGGGACCTCCCCAGATTTATCCCTTTCTAGATTTGAAAGGATTTACTTTTGACTGATGCTCTTGTGAGCCGAGAAATCACCAGTTCTTCTGGACTCTTGATTCCAGCAGCAATATTTATGTTTATTAAGTAATCCGGAAATTAACATGTAATTGATGGCTTTAAAACCCATTGTGAACCAAAATCAGGCAGTTCCTAATCTCTTTTATAATTCTGTAATTACTAACTCCTCTTAATGCAAATGAATTAATCCAGATTTACCCTGGTTAAATCCTCTGTTTCTCAAGTGTGAAAACAGGACAGATAGTTTGCATGGGGTTAGATGAATTTACAAAGTATGCTGGAAATTTCCTGTGTGCCATCCCTTGAAATACTATAAGTTTATCCTTCAACACAATCTATTAAAAAGTCTTTATTTCCTTCCTTCATCAAGCGCTGGGGATCTACCCCCAACCTGATGTTTCTTAATTTGAGCTTGTTTTCTAGGTCATTAATTTAATTCCTTAGGGCTCTGCAACCATTGGTATCCTCTGTTAAAATATAATTGTGTTCATCAATAGTTATTTCCCCTATGCTAGTTTTCCTTTCCCCTGGTCCCAGATGCTTCCAGTTGCCAAGCAAAAAAAAATTCGGCTTTCTTATCTGTTATGTTTAATTGAGACCATAATCACATTATGGATTGCTATTAATATCCTATGAGTTCATACTTAACCCAATCCAGTTGTGTGAGAGTTTAGGTGATACCTGGGGAGCATGCAATCAAATGCAAATCGTACAAATTTCTGGAAAGGTAAAACCAAAAACTCTAGCCCGTTTATGTAAAGCCCAGAGCAAAGAAACTATATAGATAATTGCTAGTAACGTGACTTCACTGAGGTTATATAATCAGGACTGTGCTAAATTTTCTTCCATATTGATTTTCCCACCAAAAATAGTAATTGCTAAAAGGATCAAAATATTTCACCATATCTTCTTCAGTGCTGTAGTTTTTCCTAGCAGCTACAGTTTTGGCATTTTTATTTTTCTCCTTGTTGTTCCAAAGTACTCAGTGTGGCATATTTAGTTCTTCCTTCCTCCATTGTATTGACACAAAATGAAAGGTTGGTGGGACTGAAAGAGCAACTACCCCAAGGACACCCAGTGAACTTCAAGGCTCAGTGGAGATTTGGTCCGAATCTAGTTTCCCTGGTCCTAATTGAATACTCTGACCATTACAAGTCTCTTATGTAGGGAAGGAAGCATCAGGGGAAGGTTGTTGCCGTCACAAACCAAAAGGGGAGTATTTGAACTCATGCCTATTCCAGCACTTCCACCTATCTGTCCAACCTTTCATCCATGGGGTTGAATCCAACCAGCTTTTCTTCTGGGGAAAAAGAGAGAAAGGACTTCCTTTTGATCACCCAAAAACCTATCCTGGGGATTATGGGACCTGCATGGACAAAGGCATATATGGGATTGGGGGGGGGGCTGTAGTAAAGAGCGGAATTGTCCAAGATAGAACAAAAAAGCTGTCTGGTTCTAGCCTTTAGTTCTCAACTGAAAAAAGAGTGACCAGCCAAAGACAACCCAGTGAGCCTCATCACTGATCTAAACAGGGGTCTCTCCAGTCCAACTGCTATACCATACTAACTCTCAAATATCATGTCTGGTAATGTTTACGTAACATAAGGACATTGGCATGGAAAATCACCTGAGAAGTGAACTTCCTGTGTGATTCTGTTAATCAATATTGAACAGTAAAGGATCCAGCCAAAAGGAAATGGCTGTTTGTTGCACCAGTAAAATGTGAATTGCTAGTGCACACTAGAGGACTTTTGTACTGGGGGTGGGATTCAAATCCCAGGTCACTGCGAAACTCACTGGGCGAACCTTAGGTACTGTAGTGGTTGTCGGCTCAGACTAGGATCTGGGAGATGCAGGGTTTTTTATCCCCACTCTGACATGGAAGTTTGCTGGGTGACTTACTCCTGTATTCAGGTGTTCTGGGATAAGATTCTCAGGTCCCAGTCACATGAGCGGGATAATTCGCAGGGGACGGAAGGCTTTTTGAGCCGGAGCAAAAAGACGAATGGTAGCGCGATCTCACCTTCCCCCAAGTCTCTGTGCCCAAGCCTCCGGCAGCCGATCACACCACGCTAAGCAACACAGCAGCAAGGCATTTCTGCGCATGCGTGGGACGTCGATGGGCGCTGGCTGCGACGGGCTACCACCGCTTCCTGATCAGACGCCCGCACATGCCGCGCATTATCGGGAAACTAGTACATGGTTCCCGATAGCTTTTAAATCCGCATCTTCGGGCCGAAGCTGCGGGTTAGAGACGAGAGTGCGACGTTTCCCAGATGTTCAGGTATGATTGCGCAGCTTTAATCCGCAGGCAAGTCATCCCTCCCGTGGGGCAAATTCGCCGTTTGAATGGGGCCTCAGATGAGTTAATGGAATGACAGGAGTGTCATTTAACATCCAATCCTAAAGTGATTCTTCCATGCTGTCTTGAAGAAATAGTTAATTGCACTGACTTAGAGGTAATTATGCATATAACTGTGGCAGCCAAAATATGTACTACAGCTCTTTGGAAGAAAGGTGAGATAGCTTAAATATCTGATTAGCAAAATCTAGAATATAGTGTTTATATAAAAATTGATGAATCATGGAAATAATGTTGGCATCACTGGATAAATGTATTGAGAGATAGACAGACTTTGTTGTATTTGGAATCGTGTTTCAGGATGTTGTTTGTCCATTTGTATATATTATAGTGCTGCAATTTTTCATTCTTTTCCCAGATTGTCTAATATAATAAAATGTAACAAAGCTTCATTAAAAGGTCTTGAGTTTGTATCTGTAGCATATGATAGATAGATAGATAGATAGATAGATAGATAGATAGATAGATAGATAGATAGATAGATAGATAGATAGATAGATAGATAGATAGATAGAAGATCATATTAGAGAGAATAGTAATAAAATGCCCATTTGACAGCAATGGTTTTTATTTGATAATGGCCGCTATTAGGCATTAACTGAAATGGACGTCATTATCATTAAAACTGGTAGAGTGATGCAACGTACCGCCAGGTGAGCCTATTGAATTTCTCCCGATCGAGAAATCAAGCCGCTTTGCTTTGCTTGTTCCTCTTTGATTTGTTGCTTTGAGGTATTGTAAATCTATAAATGCCTGACACTGACTTAAATTGACTAAGAGGGAGACATAAATTCTTGCTGACTTAATTTGCTATTGAAAATTTGAGTCAATAATCATGAAAAGTAAATGGCTATAGAATGCAATATTAGTTGTCTAAGGAAAGATTAAAATTCAAGTAATCTTCATTGACTGGACTAGGACAGTAACTAAAATATAAAAAAAAATCCATGGCCAAATTAACATGTTAAGGAGCCAGGTGGCTCTATTTGGCATTTTTTTTTGGGGGGGGAGCAGTGGCTTAAACAACAGTAATTTTTTTAGAAGGGGGAAAATATGCTTTCCAGGGACACATGGCAGCAGCCTTACCACTAAGTTACATGAGGGCAACTCTCCCAAAGGAGCAGCTTTGTTGCTGTAGAAGCTGGTAGAAGAGTTTTTCTTTTCTTTCCCAGGGTCACTTTGGGTGCATGTCTGCTTCTGCTCAGGAAAAGCAGAGGGCAAAGGAGGGACTATGGGGCTGATGCCATACAGAGGCAGCAAAAGGTCTGACCTGGGGTCACAACAGGAATGTTCCATGTCCTCTGCCATGGCTGGAGCAAACACCAAACACCTGCTTGGTTCATGGGTGTTTTAATGGCCAAACTTTAGATCCAGTGTGATCCCCAGTCTACCCTTCCTGCTGTTGTTCAGGGTCTCAGGTGACAATGAGCAACAGTAGACTGAGGATTCATGGAAGTCACCCTAGTGGGGCACTCATTGAGTGTGTGGCTCAGTATACTAGAGCCGTTCCATTCTGGGAAGCCTTCAGCAGCAGGGGAACAGGCTAAGCTTGATCCTCTCACCCTCTCTTAGCTTGTGCATGCATATATGCACTTGGTTAGCCTTCCACTACAGTGGTCATGAGGAGTCTCCTTCAGTGTGAGCAAAGTTCAATTTAGGGTGCTGCTGGTTATAACCTTTAAACCCCTTAACATCCAGGACACACATATGTGAACAACTGTGTCTCCTCATGAACCAACTGCTGTCTTCTGACTATATCTTTCTAGTTGTCTCCCCACGTAAAGTAGACTGGTTGGTATCTGCTAGAGCCCATTCCTTTTCTATAGTGGTTCTCACCTCGTGGAACAGGCTCCCCAAGGATGTGATGGGAGCACTGTCCTTAGACCTTTTTAGGAGGCACTGTATGCCTATTTTATTTGTGAGCATTTTTAATGGGCTTTAAGATTCAGGAATTATCTTGGGAAGGAGAGGGTCCATAGAGCTTTGCTTATGTTTTTTAATCTTGGAATTGTAAGCCACCTTGAGCCACACAGAAAAGTAGACTATATATTATATTAAAGTCCCAGCTGGCAGAGTTCAGGATATATAGTCCCCCAACTTCACAAACCTGCAGCCCATTGCAGTTGAGTCTGGAGCCTTTAAAATTCAGACCTAGCTCCCAACATGTTTTGCTGCTGCATCAGCTGCATGCCAGATTTGCCTGCCTGTTCCTCCCCACCTTTACAAGAGAAAACCTCTTACCTGTGTGAAGCAGCAAGGGTCAGTAGAGGCAGAAAAGGCTTGGTAGACACAGAAGAAGCTTTCACGGGACTCTCCTAAAAGGGAAATGTTCTTTCCTGTGACTACCAAGCGCTTCTCATCACTGGTATTTCAATTCACACAGAGAAGGCTTTTTGTGCTTAAGAAAGGGTAGGGGATTGGCACAAATTGTCTTAATCCACTTGTTGGTCTCTTTTTAAACTTTTGTTGCAAGCACTGGAAATACCTCAAGGAATTTCCCAAGCACTTCCAAAGGCAAGCCAGTGGGAGTTTGACCATGGCTGAAGGGCTCCAAGATTGGCACTAAGTGTGCCTGTCTTTTCAGAGAGACTGCTATCTTGGTCCTTTTGCATTTTGGCCCCATTTGCACGGAGGATTTGCCATGCTAAAGGCATGAATGGTAGGCGGATTTTCGGTGCACGATCACACTGCAACATCTGGGAAGCGTAGCACACCCGTAGCCAACCCGTGGCATCCCGCCGAAGATGCGCAGTAAAAAAATACCTCAGAAAGTGCAGTAGTATCCTGAAAACGTGCGACAGTGGCGGGCGTCTGATCGCGGGAGCACTAGTATCCCGTGGCTTCTGGTGCCCATCCGAGTCCCATCGCAAACCAGATGGTTTCCTTAAGTGCATGCGCATGAACACTAAACTGGAAGCAGTGCTGCTCCATGGAACTGCGCATGCACACAAACACAGAACGCTTGCCATGTGGCTTCTTTGCCAGCTCCATCATCGCCGTGTGATCGCGAGCTTCCTGCCACAGCACGAATACTCGGGAGACCATGTGATCGAGCTAACGTGCTTTATTTTGCCCCGGGGCAAACAGCCACACCTCACCCCCGCGTTATCTGGCCCGTGTGACCGAGGCCTTTATACAGCATTTGCAGTCAGTTTCAGAGCTCTCACTTGGAGTGGCTCAATTCTGAAGAACAGGCACATGGGCAAAGTAGTGATGCCTGACACTGCAGAGGCAGGGACGTTGCACATGCTGACTCATGCGTCAAATGTTTTTTTAAAAACACAGTCTTCTTGACACAGCAGATGCAGGTCACTTATGATGACTTATCAAGAGGCTCATCTTTGCATGTGTCAGGTGAGTTCTGGCTGTAACAAATGCTCCTTTTCTTCTCCTTGACAGCAACAACTCAGTTAAAAAGGTGACTAAGAAGAGAGAAGAGAAGCTGCTGCCCCCACCATTATCTCCTTTGCTAGATGAGACGGCACCCAGACGGAGTGACAGTGGCTCCTTCAGCCAAGAGAACAACCTGGCAAATCCGTTGCAGGCCAACAGCTGCCCCAAACACAGGAAAAATGAAAACAAATCCTCTTCCAACCCAAAGGGAATCTATGTAAGTAACCCTGAAAGTTATGAAAAGGAAACTGAGAGCAAATTCTGGCATAAGGCACTGCTGGGGGTTGTGTGAAGTATCAACTCTTGGTACTGCACAAATGGTGATCCACCCAGCTGAACACAGACCATGCACCATGCCAAGTGATCGACAAAGTATGGGTGATGTCCTTGGAGTCCTTCAGAGAGTCCTTACCCAACCCCCCCCCCCAAGGGTGTTGAGGTATCTCAGATTTACCACTAGGCCTAAATCTACCCCACAATACACACAGAATCGAAAGCTTATTCTGCCTCCTGGTTTATAGAATAACAGGACTCTCATGAGGGGAGAGGTCCAGGTGGGATATCAAAGAGCCAGTCTGTCAGACACTGATTTCGAGCTTCCCTAAGGGGTTTCCCTGTGCTTCCTAAATAACTGAGAGGACCAGGAAAATAATACTAGGGGAGATGGACTTAGGTAGAATCCCTCCTCCCAAGATCAAAACACTTCAGCTCACTCTAACAAGGAGTTAGATTTATTAATAAAACACTAAGAACAGAATTTCATTTGAAGAAAGAAAAGATCAAAAATAGCCCGGTCTCCATCATACTTGGCCTGGCCAGTAGCCTGGCTCCAGATAATCCATAGCATTTGTTGGAGGCAGCAAAGTATCTCTCTGCTCTTCTGGCAAAAGATGCATCATGGACTCCAGGGAACAATGCTTTTGCTTTCTCCAACTGAATACCTTTATCCAAACTTATCTATAAATAACAAGTGAGAAACTGACAGACCTGCTGTAGGTATATAGTCATCTGCTCTTGACAGGACAAATTTGGTCTTGGACCTTGGTTACCGACATTCAATGACTACTCAGAACCTTACCACTTAAAAAAAAGGTACACAGACTTACAGAAGAATAAATATAACTTCTATAATTTAATATTCTCTGCTTTCTGTGATACCACCTGGTTTTGAAATCGTACGCACAACCTTTGGTCAACCCAGCTCCACATTGCCAGATTTCAAGGGTCTCAGGCAGTCTTTTATGACCACTGCTGTCCGAGAGCCTTTTTGCTGGAGACGCTGGGGATTGAATCATACAAACACATGGAATTGTCTTCTACTGAATCGGAACCTTGGCCCATCAAGGTCAGTATTTTGTACTCAGACTGGCAGTAGCTCTCTGGCATCTCATGTGGAGGTCTTTAACATCACCTACCATGTGATTGTCTCAGATAAAGTTGACAGGGATCGAACCTGGGACCTTCTGCATGCCGAGCAAATGCTCTACCAGTAAGTGACAGCTTTCCCCAGGAATAATCTACCTCAAAGCAGGTGCTTCGTTATTGAGTCATGCTTGTCCCACAATCCCAAGCAGGTAGCAAAACTAGAAAGTTGATGGGCTGGGTTAGGCTTTGTGATAGAGTAACCAACAGGCCTGGAGGGAAAAAACCTCCTGTTCCTTTAATAGAGGCTTAATAGAATGCTATTTACCTCTGTGCCATGAAAAGCTTCAACTGCCGATTTCCTCACATTTAAGCCTCTATTAAAAAGACTGGGCATTTTCTTTCTCCAGGACTGTTGGCAACCCTATTTGGTGGGTCACACAAGTTGTGCCGTTCCAGAGTATATCAACATATTGGGATCCACAGAATTTTTAAAAAGTCATTTTTCCTCTGATCCCTCTGTGTGTGTGTGTGTGTGTGTGTGTAACTACACCTCTATTAGATCTACTCAGCTCTTTCATGTAACAATTTAATAGAATTAATATGTGATATAACTGATGTGATTTAAAGGGGGGGTTGAATTATTTTCAGTGGCAGTCCCACGGTTTAAATCCAGCTCTAGCACTAATCACTGGATACTGTGAATTTTTGCTCGCAGTTCATCTTCTTATGTTTTAATAAGCAAGCAATGCTACAAGGCACCCATGCTGACATTACACCTCTTTGGAAGTGGGTGTTAATGATGCCGTGTGTGTGAGCAATCTGTAGCTGCGGTGCTTAATTAATCTGCTGAGCTTGACTTATGACATGAAGTCCGCGAGATGCAAAATATGTGCCTGGATTTTAATTTTGAGGCACACCAACTTCCATTATGTGACATATGAAGGTATTATTAGCATGCAAGCCAAAGCTGCTAATTAAAATTGCTTTCCCACAGGAGGAAGACTCCCACAGCAGGCCCACAAACACTCTGCTTGACTCCAGCCATCTAGACAATGATATCTGGTCTGCAGCACCTGCCTTCGCCAATGGGGATCCTGAGCCAAGAAGACCTAAAATCACATTTGATGATATGTAGGTAGTGAGAGCAAAGCCTTGCAGTCATTTCTGGCTCAGGCTTTAAATTGATAGGGCTCTGTCGTCTAACGAGGTCTAAATTCGATTACAGGGGCATGCAGATTTTCCAAGGGAGAGGGGGGGAGAGAAGAACCTTTCGCCACATTGTGCAAATTAAAGAGTGTGCTTGTACTTACATAAATCACAATGTACATATTGCAGAACATGGGTGTTTTTTTCAAATTTTAGAAAGGTTTGCCTCTGCTGAGGGCAAATAAAGGAATCACTGGAAAATATTGGTAAGAGCAAAATATTAAGAACATAAGAATTTAAAGGTAGCCCTGGGGATCAGACCAAAAGTCCATCCACTCTAGTATCCTGTTTCCCACGGTGGCCACTCAGATGTCCCGGAAGGGCCATAGATGGGCACAGAGGCCTTCACCTCTTGTTGCTTCCTATCAATTGCCATTTAGTGGTATGCAGCCTCTGAGCATGGAGGATCCATCTAGCCCTCATGGCTAATAGCTGCCTATATACCTATTCCCCAAGAATTAAAGATATAGCAGCCCTTACTACATCTTGTAGCAGAGAATCCCATAATAATATACTGTGTGAAAATGGACTTCCTTTTGTCTATCCCAAATGAAGTGCCCATCAACTTCTGTTAGGTGCTCACAATTTCTAGTATTTGAGTGGGTGGCTGGAAAAGTTTCACAAAATGAAGTGATGGCAGCCTGTTAATGGATCTTAGGAAAGAGATTAGGGGAAGATGGAGCCAGCTCCTGCTCAGAGATGGGAGAGAAAGGGTGCATGACTCCAAACCCATATGAATGATGCAGGTTAACTCTGGCCCTGTTCGCACGAGGGGTTTTGGGCCGAGAGCGGGACGGATCGGGGGCGGAGCAAACGGGCACGATCCCACGGCAACATCTGGGAATTGTTGCCTGCCCGTCCCTGATCCGTCCCTCCCGCCCAAAACCCCGCACTAAAAAAGAACCACCTACCTAGGTGGTTCTTTGGAGAAGAGCGCCTCAACCCTGGCCATGGGATCGCTGGCGTGTCCTTGCGCCGGCGCATCCCCGGGCCCCGGCCGTACTGCGCATGCCCGAGCATGCGCAGTTTGGCAGCCTCCCCCTCCCATTCGTCTCTTCCTCCCCGGCATCTGATCGTGCCGGGGAGCGACGCGACGCGGCTCAGGGGATCCGTGGGATCCCGCCATGGTGTCTCAACTTTGGTGCGGCTTTTAAAAGCCGCACTTTTCCCAGTGTTTTCCCTGCCGTGTGGCAGGGGCCTACGTTACTTTCTCTCCTGGCCAAATAGCAACCACTACTTATGTAGCTCTGCCGTTAGTCGTAATAATGTCACAGACAAGTTCTTGTTCATTGCAGTGATAATCTGACACTGTTTTATAGTAAGTCAGACATTGAGTGCCTGTGTATCATTTGTGACAGATGCACATCTTTAGGCACCTCTGTACAGTTTGTGTTCCCAGGCACATGTACACAGGTGCTTAAAAACTCTCTGCTTACTGCAGTAATTCAGTGGCAAGTTCACAGTACTTTCTGCCACCAGCAGTTATGTCTGTGACATGAAGTGTGGATCCCACTTCTGTTGATCTGTCTTGTCCAGTATTATGTACTCAGACTGGAGGCAGCTCTTTCCCCAGTAGACTTTCTCAGCTCTTACCGCTGGTGGAGTTAAGGATTGTAACAAAGACCCTGTGCACTGCAAAATGTTAATTTTGCCACAGAGCAATGGCCACTCAAATATGCCTGTATGTATGATTCCAGGTTGACTATCATCTCAGACAACTGGGGGCTTTGTTGCTATTGAAAGCAACATTTTGCATCATTTATGATTAAGTAAGCTTCTTTTGTGGATAATGCTGACTAATTCCTTCTCCCCCGCAGAAAACATGCATATATATTTTATTTTGTATTTTAGCTTTTGTAATGGAAGCTTGTTATGGTTAATCACTCTGAATGGTTTCTCTTTTCCTTCTGTTCAGCAAAGTTTAATAGGCCCCTTTGGGCTTCTGGTTTCCACTGTTAGCCATTTTGCAACCAGCTCATCAATCACAACTTTGCATCCTGCAGCTTTGCACTGATAAGACAGAAGGAAAACAAAAATAAATGGGGCCAGTTTGTCCTGGAAACCAGTCAGCGCTTTTTATCAGCTGTTTGACAACTGCTGGCCCTCTGCAGGCATCATGCTGACCCATGGCTTGTTTTCCTTAGCCATGACTCAGCATTAACATCTGGAATTAAATACCTAAACAGGAGTTAAGAGTTAACAGCAAACCAAAAAGGAAAACTATGGTTTGACTTGAAACCAGGTTAAACATTATATCATGCACTAAGTGAACCGTTGTTAGGCAGTCTTCCTAGATTTTCGCTGATGTCTCCCTAAACTTGCCCTCCACAAACTAAGCCATGGTTTCACTCTATGTGATTGTAATCAAGGTAGAGTAATAAACCATGGTTAGGACTGTTTGGCTTTGGCCAATAAAGAAAATGAAATCTTGTCAGCTGATTGATGTTCTTACTGTTGTTGTTTGGATAGGCTCCACAATGCAGATTACTACATGCAAGAGGCCAAGAAGCTAAAGCACAAAGCAGATGCCCTGGTAAGTGTTCAAGCGGCCTTTCTTTTTCTTTTTCTTTTTTTGGTAGTATGGTGATCAGCTTAGCAGTACAATGCATCTTGCAAAGATATCACAATAAACCAGAGAGGACCACTTCTAATCTGCTTGCCTTGTTAAATTCTGCCCTTGATCTGTAGCAATGCAAGGTGTTCCCAGGATTGTCTTTTGAAAAGTAGCAACAGAAGGTTCTAAACTGGAAGGTTCTGTAAACCAGTTTATCTTTCTGATAGGCAAGGTGGAAATAGGATTCCCAAAACTGGCTCAGCAAATGCTGGGAGATGTGGGATGGGGGTGCATGGGAAAGGCAGAGTTTGGGAAGATGCGATGTCACTTCCAGGTGATTCTCTAGGCTAGTTCGCCTAGTCTCTGTGATCTTTACCATAGAGAAAATTCCTAGAGTATCACTATGTTGAGGCCATTTTTTTCTTTCACTTCTCAGTTTCTCAGTGGCAGGAAACTGGTGCTGAGGGTTAGTAATTCCCCACCCCAGCAGGTAAACAGGAAGCCTAGGTGGAGAGATGTTCCAAACATTAAAAGGGTCCCTGGAACTGGGCAGTGCAGGTTTATTCCTCTTCTGACAATCCAGTTTACATTGCAAGTTGCTTACTTGGATCTGCAGATTTCAAAAGCAGACACTAAAAACTGTGTGTTCTTTTTGTGCATAGCCCTTCTGTGGGTTTTAGTTTTCGGCCACATTAGAATATGTCAGCAAAACTTGAAAAAGAGATCAAACCCAGGAATAGACTCAGAACTTCACACTAGTTGCTGACTGACAGACTTTCATATATGGCATAAACCCAAACCAAACTGATGTTAGTATTTAGTGTCAACAGAATTCAGAATGCCATTTTAAACATAGTAAAGGGGGGGGGGTATCTCTTTCAAGAGGACATGCAGGTCAAGGATGAAAAACACAAGAGAAGATGCAGAGAGATGTAAAGATGAGGCAGTGGAAAAGAAACCACAACTGGATCAAGGTTTCTTGGGATTTTTAGGGGGGAAACTGTGAAGTTCTTGAGAGAGGGGGAGAGTCACAGGCTTCCCGTTTATTTCTAAGCACAATTCAAAGTATTGGAATTGTCCCATAAATGACTCAGGTCTCTCTAGAACAGGGGTGGGCCAAACTGTGGCTCGGGAGCCACATGTGGCTCTTTCACACATATTGTGTGGCTCCTGCTACAGTGCATAGCCCTTCTGGTCTTCCCTTCCCCAGCCAGTGCAGAGACAGAAAGCAACTCAAACTTTAAACCCGTTCTCAAAGCACCCCACCCCCAGCCAGCAGGCTTGGAGAAGGCATTTGTCTCTTTAAATCCCTTCTCCAAGCCAAGCTAGCCAGCATGGGGTCAGGGGGGCTTGGAGGACACATTGAACATTAAAGTCGCTTTCTTTCCACCTTTCCCTCCCTCCCCCATGTATTTTCTTTCTTTTCTTTCTTCTCTTTCTTTTCTTTCTTTTCTTTCTTTTCTTTCTTTTCTTTCTTTTCTTTCTTTTTTTTCTTTTCTTTCTTTTCTTTCTTTTCTTTCTTTCCTTTCTTTCCTTTCTTTCCTTTCTTTCTTTCTTCAATTTATATCTCGCCCTCCCCACCGAGGCGGGCCCAGGGCGGCTTACATAGCATTCCGTGAGATATAATACAATTAAAAGTCTGTCAAAACATATAAGCAAATCACATAAAATAACAGTAATTTAAAATATACCTAAAAGCGCTGGAACATATCCACATAAAACAAGAGCAACTTTCTTTATGACCTGGTTTAGATGGCCGTATAGTTCCAATAGCTTCCACACCAGCTTAGTTCTCTCACTTATTGTGTGGTGGGCACAAGCTGGATATAGCGCTGGTACGCCAGGGTGCAGCTGGAGATAGAAAAGGGTAAAAACCAGGGCACAGGGGCACTCCTCAGCATATCTTTCCACCTTTCTTTCTCTCTTTCTTTCTCCCCTCTCTCCCCATCTAAAATTATCAATTTAATATTATTAAAAGCAAATTTGCATATTTTTCAATAAAAACATGTGCAATATTTGTTCATGTCTTGTGGCTCTCAAACATCTGACGTTTATTCTATGTGGCTCTTATGTTAAGCACATTTGGCCACCCCTGCTCTAGAACCACTTGTTATCCTTAACATCACCTATCAAGGCCCTTTGCCAGGGTCCCTCACCATCAGGTTAGACAGGTATTTATCAAAGGCCTTTTCTGATTATGGCACTGTCCCCTCCAGCACAACCAGGCATCTTCATTATCATAATTCAGGTTCCAAGTGAAGCTTGTCCTGTTCGCTCAAGCATTTTAGCATTTAAGCCTAGTTATGTTTCTGATTCTTACAACCTATCTTATTGCAACTTGGATCTTCGGTGATTTATTGTTTTTTCTTATTTGCTTTAACTTATTGTTAGCTTTCTATGAAGGCTAAATAAACACAGAAAGCCCTAAAATAAATAAATGCATGAACAAAAGAGTCAGACAGAATAGTGGCTAGCATTGGGACAAACCTGCAGTTTTTTGGTGAAACCCCCTCTCTTTCTGGGTCCTTGTAATAATACCCTCCATATTACGCCTACGAAATTTAGGGTTCTGCCCACCAATCTCTCACTCTTCTTAAAGACTATTATAATGTAATAGAATTAAGGTTGCCAGGCAGGGTCCAGCAACCAGCGGGGGGGGGGGACGACGACTTACCAGCAGTGGGGCCCTTGCTAGCAACTTAATGACTTTCTGGCAATGCGCTGATGTCAGTTGTAGGCACACAGGAAATGACATCAGTGCATCAGGATGATGGCAATCTTCACCCCGTTTCCAGCCATTTTATTCCCCTGCCAGCCAGCTGAGCAGCAGTGGGGAACCACCCACTGGGGCAGCCAAACGGCAAGCCTAAATCAAATTGTGTCCTCTTATTCAGCCTGGCACCATGGGTCAGCCATGGGTGTGGCTGGGTCTTCCTGTTCTCCCCTGATCCCCTGTGGACCTAATGCTCCTACTCCAGATTTGGACTGCTTCCTCAGCTTGTTGTTCAACATTCATTCGTATTGACGGGCCTGCTTCAAGGAAGTGGCCTGAGCTCATTGCTGACAGCTGACTCCATAGGTTGAGAAGGCTCACAGAAGCAAGCTGACAACACGTCCTGTGGCTGACTGACCTTTAAAGGCACACGCACGTTACGTGGGCACCGGCCTGCTTCCTGCTCTCGGCTAGCAAATGTTTACAGGCCCAGGCTCATGACAGCCTCCTCACGCTGTGTCAGCCCACTCCCCTCAACACCACTGTGCCCATCCCGCCTAATTCACTCAGCATGTCGACGAGCCTTCCGTCTTGCTACCTTTGTCTGCGCCTGGCAGAGTTCAGGCTGTTTCTAATGCAGAGCTAATGCAAAAAGGCATCTCCCATCCTGTTGGTGCCTGCAGGCAGTTCTTTCCTGTCACATGTCATTTGACATCCCCTGTACTCTTACTGGAATGCCAAGACAGGCACTGCTTAACAACAACTTGTTGACAGCCTTGTATGACCACAGCAAACCTCCCATCTATCCTTCATTAGAAGGCATATCCTTTACTTAACCCTATTCTTAACCCCATCCCTGCCATTAAACTTGCCAAGGCACTCCTCATCCACTTCATTGCTTTTCTGCCATTTGGTATCATACATCTGCTAAAGATCACTGCAGCCCCTTTAGCAAAAGGGATCTTTGCCCAGCTACTGTTCCAAATGAGGGAGGGGTGCAACATGAGGGTGCAATATATAAAAAGTCAGGCATGTCAACACAGCACAAAGACATTTTTATTCTGGATTCAGGGATGCAGCAGAAAGCTCTTTACACCTCCTTTTAAGACCTTTCCATTGTAATCTTCACAGGGAGTAGGCATATGCTCATGTAGATGCATATCCACATCAACAGTAGCAAGAGCAGAGTCTGGCAAAGACACAGTCCTACGTCAGATGGCTTTTATGTTGACCATTATTCTGCGCTTGTCTTTAAATGAAATCTGGAGCATCCTTTCAATGTGTCTCTTCTTTCTCTTTTCAGCTGGAAAAATTTGGCAAAGCCGTGAATTATGCTGATGCCGCCCTTTCCTTCATTGAGTGTGGGAATGCTATGGAGCGCGATCCATTAGAGGCAAAATCTCCGTACACCATGTACTCGGAGACTGTGGAACTCATCAGGTTAATGTCTTTTCTGTGATCATTTTCATAATCTCATTTCACTCATAATTAGAACTTGCTGCGTTTTTTAAAAGTATCATTTCGACCTCATTAATGATTAGTCCAAGGCATCTTTCGTCTCAGAAGTCATCATAATTAGTTCTTCTTGCCATTTTATTAATGTCATGGAAAATTTATAATTGATGGACACTGCTCTTATAAATGAGCCCTGTTAGAGGTTATAATGTGTGTGTTATATAATTTGCAATATTCATAAAATTAAAATTGAAATGTAGTGGGTGGAAGGAAAGCATAGTAATTCTCCATTTGGCCATGACACTTGTCTTTTGAAAGGGCTAGTTTTATCATTCCAGACATTAAAGGGAGTCCATTGGGATCTTGGTTATAAAACCTGTTTTCCAGAGGCTTATAATTTGGCTGTAAAAAATTATTCCAGGATGAAATTTGGCAGGTAAGGTTGCAGCTTGGGAGCACCCATTTTGCACATGTATGCACACACTCAAGTAAATTCAGCTTGCATTCTGGAAACATAGATTCATATTTCTAGGTGTCACTTAGAAATTCAGGCTGTGCCATATTTTTATGAGGTTTGATTTTTTAAGTGAAAGGTGCCATTTTGTGTGTGGCCATAAACAGGAGGGGTTTGAAAATATCCCTGTGTTCTGTGATTTGGTGACTTTTTGGTGTTTGGACAACCCTTTCCCCCCATCTGCTGCTACTTCAACACTTTTTATTATTATTTTATTGTGCACTTCACTGCATGATCTTAGCTAATCAGATGTCACATAGTGAAGATTATTGACATCACACCATCCAGGTAGCCAATCAGATTTGGCTACATGATAGTATCACTGCCGGCAGACGAAGTCTTCTTGTTGCCGTCACTAGCCCTGTTCACATGTTATGGTGAACACAAGTATGTCCTGCCTGTTCATGCATACATTTTTTGTAAGAAAGAGACCACCTTCATTCATTCTGCAAAAGAAGCCAGAGACCTGTACCATCCTGGATAAAAGTAGGATTTAAGTCATACATTTAGCTGTAAATGCGTTGAATGTAACACAAGAATTACTCAGTACATATATAAAGAAAAATCAAGGGTACATTGTGCACAGATTCTACATGCATTCACTATAACATGAATAGGACTTCTTAATGGAGGCGGTGGAAATGCATCCATGCTGTCTTGACAATTGGGCCAGTGCTCCATATTTTGCTACGCTGCAGTGTCACTTTCACAGTCTGCCAGAGATGAAGGACAAGTCTTTCACCTTGACCAACTGTAGAGTTGGGGCAGAATGTGGTTGGGATGAAGATGTCCTTCTGAATGTGCATCACGTGAAAAGTAATTCACTGCAAATGGACTTCCACATTTAGGAGTGCATCAGGCTTCCCCACTAGCTATATGTTACTGAATAAGATGGGGAAGGGTAAGTCAGTTGTTTTAACAACGATATGTTTCCTTTTCCCTTTGACACCTGCCCTTTATGAAGTGCTATGAATTTGTTTACAAAGATGGAAAAGAATCAGTGTACCCATTTTGGGGGAGGTGGCATAGTCACAAAACTCTTTTTGGCTTATCACCACCCTCTCTTCCAAAGCTTATTCAGATGCATGAGGGAGAAACAGATCTCCCCCAGCCTCTCATTCCATTCCATGTGTGGTTTGTGTTAATGAGGTCGTTGTCTCTGTTATGAGGTAATGTGCACTGAGATTTGACATTACATTTAAAATGTATAATTTTCAGATTTTTCCCACACTTGGGGTGACTTGGGCTTTGTATAGATGTTAGATCATATGGCAATACCCTAATAGTTCCAACACACACACACACACACGAATCGGTCAGTGAGACCCTGTGAAAATAGTCAGCATTTGCACTGGGAGAAGTATTTGATACCAGATGTTCATGTTCTGTTCTTCTGATTTTAAGATGACATTTTAGAATTTTTTCTGCAGTGGATATCAACCACAGTCTTCAACTAAATTCAACATGACAGATACAAAGATAGATCTATTGACTCGGAAACTCAGTTGAGTTTAAATACTGGTAAATATGAGAGAGATATAAAGAAGGTATGAGTTATTAATGACATCTGTCCTGGGACAATGCTTACTTAATAGGGGCAACCCTGGTTAAAAACCAGCAATATGATGTCATTTATTCATGCACTTTAAAACGTGTGTGTGTGTTTTAGATAGATAGACAGACAGACTGACTGACTGGTTGATGATAGATAGATAGATAGATAGATAGATAGATAGATAGATAGATAGATAGATAGATAGATAGATAGATAGATGCTTTCATAAATGTCCAAAGTGACTCACACATTATTATTGAAAAATATATGCAATATAGTTTATATAAAAATAAGGTGAAAGCAGTCAAAATAGTAGAGCAGCACAAGCTGCTGGTATAAACTCTGAACGAGTAGCACTAGCTCCCTTCAGACTGTTTTCTTCCACGTATCCAAAGGCCTTACATAGGCACCTAAACCTCAGGAGGGAAGGACATGAACACAAATAATATTAAGGCAACCACCAAGAAGGCTCTGGTCTTTGTAGTGGGTGTTGTAACCTCTCACATAGAGGACATATCAAATAAGAACCTCGGTGATTACCTGAGTACACAGATAGATTGATGGACAGATAGATAAATGACGTTTCCTCCTCTTTAAGATCAATGTAACATGTGGTAACTGGTGGTGTTATGGGTTTTTGTTCTACATTCTGAGACACTTTGAGTCCTCCTTGAGCAGATAAAAGCAATCTAAGAGCATTTACATAAATAAATAAAATGTGTCTCAGCCAGTATACTAACACAGTTCACTGTGGTGACCCTGAGTTGACAGTAGCACCGTCTCACTGAAATTACGAAGAGATGCCCATCCACTGAAGTCTTTATATATTTGTAGACATCAAGCTAAAATTGTTCTCTTCTACCAACCATTTTATTTGTGAGATTTTAAGCTATACGATTTAACACAGGGGCTATTTTTTAACATACTGTTGTTATGTTATGGTAAATTAGACTTAGCATTATTTTAGAAATAGTTTAGACATTTATAATAATGAGGGTTGTTAATTGTTGTGTGATTGTACACCACCTTGGGCACCAGCGAGAATGAAAACAAAGTATAGAAAGTGTAAAAAATTACTTTTAAATTAGGAATATTTCTGGTGATGTGTAGGAAGGTATTTTACATGACCGAGAGGGGAAAATACTGGCACCTCTTAGAATTTAGGGCCAACAAGAATGACAATAATGTTACTATGTAGATATGTAAAATCAAATAATACTTAGACCTGATTCACATATGAATGTTCACCGCTTGTCAGCTGCAATATCAAACAATGGCTTGCATATGTGAGTGGGCCACTGGAGAAAGACCTTTCACATAACCTCAACTCAAATTCTTTGTGTTTCAGTGGAGTCAGTTTACACATTTATCTGATGTACAGGTTAATCACTATTGCAATATCCATTCATGGCTTGCATGTGTGAATAGGCTGTCATAAAAATAATACCACAGCTAGAATTTCCATCATCACACCAAACACAGTGGTTTCCAAAGATGTTGGCCCAGCCAGACATTGAGCTGTCAGTCACCAGGACTTGGATCCTATACATTCTTTCCTTTGGTGCTTGCTTTGTCCACTGCAGAGGCAGTCCTCCACTGCAGATGGAGCATTTCTCAGGCACTAGGTACTTCTACTCACACAGGACCAAGATGGTTTCATGAACTGCAAAGTGCCTAGTATGAGAGGACTAGGCTTCACAGCAGAGGCCCACATCCACAATAGATGAAGGAAGTATGAGCAGAAACAAGGTATAATATCCAGACCCAAGTGTATAATAATCAGGGCCTTCTCCACATATGCAAGCATATCACTGGACTTTTCTGTAACCGAACACTTAATGACTTGCAGTGTATGACTTGACTCCATTGAGATCTGTAGAGCTTTTAAGTGAAAAATATTTTGTCTTCGATATTATATCTGCAATGGCTCATTCACACATGCACACAATCACTTCATATGGCAGCCGGAAAGTACTCATACAGGTATGCACTACCCTAAGCATATAGGATCAATGGATGTAAATGTGCATACCCCAGTTTCTTTGGGATATTCTTTTAGCATCATAGATTTTGAGCATGAAAGACCGCAATGCATGAGACTACCAAGAAACATCAGTCAGGAGATAGTACATGCTTTGCATTATGAATGAGCATTTGTTTACATAGCAGAAATGTACCGGATTTGAAAAGAAGCTGTTATCTTCGGGGAAATAATACACCTTGTAAATATTTTAGATTGTGTATTTGCATGCAGCTCTGGTTTAAACTGAAAGAAGAGACTACAAAGAAGTTTGCAGTGCAGTAGAATGATCATATACAACACCAAAGGTTTAGTTTCAGAAGGGGACGAGGACTAACAAGGTTAAGCCAAAGAAATGGGGTAGAGGGTGAAGGAGGAATGACTTCAGTGGGCTTAGAAAGGCATAACTCAGTTTAGGATTGCACTGAAAATGACACATCTATTTCAGCCCTGGTCCAGATTGTGCTCAATATGTCATGTTTTCCAGACTGGAATAAACAACATTAGGGAGTAGTGTTACTACCTCTTTCCATTGCACTGACCTAAGTGGACCTTTGTTTATATCCATTTTGTTAATTATAGTCACCCCAGAGGGTTGGAAACATACAAATGACATTGATTTGTGAAAATGAGCGACCCATCACAATAACTCAGGATGCCAAAAATATGACTGCCAAGGCTGTTTAGACTAATTGTGTCTTTAAATCCCTTCGTTTCTAAGATTGCACATCCTCAAGGGATACAAATCTTTGTTATTTGGCCTGACCCAGTAGGTATGACGGGAGCAATCATAACGTGCCTGAGAGAGAAGGCTTTGAACTAAAGGGGACTTATCTATAAAGTGCATAATAATGATAAGGACAGGGGCGGCAGTGCTGCGGTGTGGTGAAAGCAGTGCCCTTCACCTGCACTCCATTACCACCTTGTAAATGAGACTGCCCGAACACCTTAAAACTTTCTTATGCAACACTGAACTCTATTACTTATTCTAACACAAGTACCTGTGAAATTGTATTAAGGCTCAGAACAATGGTTTTTATGTGATGGTTTGATTTTCAGGAGGCTAAATGCATGGAATGGATGAGGAGGCACACCCCTTCAAAGGAGGGGGGGGATGATTCAACTTTAATCATTCAGGAGCAGGATAGGAGCAGTTGCCTAGAGCGGATTCCGTAGCTCACAGGAAGAGCATTTGCTTTGCATGCAGAAGAGATCAGGTCCAGTTAATGGCATCTGTGATCAAAAAGGATCTCAGGTTTCTAGGCTGGGAAAGACCAGACTGAGAGCTGGTAGGCTCCTCTACCAAGGCAGATGGGCCAGTGATCACGCTTGGTATAAGGTAGCATAAGGCAGGGGTCCCCAACCTTTCTGAGCCTGTGGGCACATTTGGAATTTTGACACGGCGTGGTGGGCACAGCAACAAAATGGCTGCTGTGGGAGGAGGAGCCAGCCATAAAATGATTGCCACAGCTTAACTTCAGTAACACACTGCAGATCCTTGTGCTGTGGTGGCAGCTGCGGTCAAAGCAATATTTTTTTAAAATATGCATAGCCAATCAAATCACCAACAGCCAATCAGAGCCTTGTTTGACCAAAGCCCTACCTCTCCCCACCCGCTTCCTAAAAACACTTGGCAGGCACCAGAAAGGGTGTCACTAGGCACCATAGCACCCAAGGGGATGATGTAGGGGACCCTGGCATAAGTTGTCCTTAAAAGAAAAATATACAAGTGATTTAAATATATGAGCTTTAAAAGGTTGCCTTTTATTTTTTAACAGTGGTGAATATATGTACCTGCCTTCTTTTAGCTCATAACATTAGTCCCTTTAGCTCAGAGCTGTATGCTGTGACTGGCAGGGGCTCTCTAGGGTCTTGCGCAGAGAGAGGTCCCTCACAACTTCTGCCCCTGGAGGTCCTTTGCGTGGGCACGGACTGAATCTGGGACCTTCTGTATGGCAGGCAGGTGCTCTGCCTCCAAGCCACAGTCCATCCCCAAACCTACTGACAGTCCTTGGAGACCACCAAGGAAGTCCATGGTTGCTATACAGAAGCAGGCAATGGTGAACTACCTCTGTCAGTATTTGCCAAAAGGAGCTTTGGTTCTCCAACGTTTATACCCTGAAAATCTTGTTGGTCTCTTAAGGTGTTACTAGAATCAAATCTAGCTCTTCACCAGGGTTTTAAGAGGCGTTATTGCTCAATGTCACCCATTTTCTTCCAAGTATCATTAAAAATGTTCAATGTTCCTCTCCCCAATCTCTCTTTAAAGGTATGCAATGAGGCTCAAAAACTTCACAGGCTCTTCTGCTACAGAAGGAGACAAGAAGCTAGCAGTTTTATGGTGAGGCACCTTGCAAATTTCTGATTCTCTAAAGCACCTTACTGAGATGGTTTGTTCCACTATGATTCTAATAAAGGATAACCAATGGATACTTTTCATGACTGACACAATGTTGATTCCCCCCCCCCCATTTATGTAGAAAAACTAGCTAACAATTTGCAGTCTTTAAAAGTGAAATAGGATTAAAGGTGTCTTCAGGACAGCTTGCTTCTATATGAACCAGTTTGTCAGCTAAGTTCTATATGAACCATTTTGTCAGAGGCCCTTTTGCAAAAGTCCCCACCATCAGCAGTCAGGCAAGTGACTGCTGGAGACATAACTTTTTCTGTGGTGGCACCTCAGCTCTGGAACTTACTCCTTAAACAAGTTAACCAGGTGCCTGCACTAACTCCAAAAATGCATCCATTTTTGTTTCCTGTTGTTTTGTATGTGGTTGCCGAGAGCCGTTTTTTTCACCCATTTTCATTGCTGGCAGTCCCAATTTCGGGGGGGGGGGGGGTAAATGGAATTTTTATAGTATAATATAGGTAGCTAGCATTAAAACATACATCTAATGGTAATGTTTCTATCAAATATTGATAGTATGGTTCAAGGGAAAGGATGACTATGATTTCGTCCTGAGTAGGGAGAACCCATATCAGAAATCAATATTTTCAAATTAAAAGAGTGTGGCCAAGAAATTTACTGCCACCCCCAAGAAACAGTTTCCACTGGGTCAATCTTGTCTAGCTTTAGGTTCCTTCTTCTTCTTCTTCTTCTTCTTCTTCTTCTTCTTCTTCTTCTTCTTCTTCTTCTTCTTCTTCTTCTTCTTCTTCTTCTTCTTCTTCTTCTTCTTCTTCTCCTCCTCCTCTCTCTCTCTCTCTCTCTTTTACAGCTTTTGGTGGTGTAGAGTTCCCACCACCACCACAGCCCTCCAGATTAACAGAGTACTCACGCCAGTTATTATACTGGCTTTTTTGTGGAATTTTCTACTGTGCTGGTTTTGTATTTAGGGAGGTTTAATCTTTTTTGGCTGCTGTAGTGCTGGTCTGACTAAAGTGTTTTTTTAATTGATTATTTTTGTATGGCATGATTTTATGTTGTAAACTGTCTCAGGAGCCATAGGCTGAAAGTCGTGGCCTTTTCATGTTTAAAAAATAGACAAAGAGGATCTTTCAAGCAGATGATGAAGTCCACCCTTTTTTACCTGTCATTTTAATCTCATGTACAGATTATGGGTAGCCGTTTCTTTTTAATAGTTTTATGGTTTGGTCCTACAATGTCGTATTAGTTTTTAACTAGATCTTTATTCTAATTCTAATTATTCTAATATTTTAAAGTTCTGGTGGTTAACAGCCTTGAGTCCCTTTCTGGCAGAAAGGTGAGATAAAGAAAATTTAACAGGACTTAGGTCTGATTCAGCTGTACTGATCTTAAGACTGGCATTTTTAACTGCATTTTTAGGGGCCAGTATATTGATGCTATAATGACTCAAGAATATAAGATATGATCCAGTCAAGGTTATGCATGTAAATGCACTGATTTCCATGAAAAGGTTAAGCAGATTGTTAAGTCTTCATTGTAGAAATCACCTAAACTTAGAGCAGATGTAGGGGTGACATTTGATGCTTCCTTAACAGTGGCTTTGAAGCTGCTTAAAATTCAGGTAAAAGAAAACCAAAGTAACACCCATGCCAAGGTGCTGCATAGCCTGGTCAGGAGACATTAACTCTGGAAAGGGGAGAGACTGCAGTAAGAAAGTGTGTGTTTCTGCGTCCAATTTTCTATCTCTTTTGGCAGTTGGGAATTAATTGCTAATTGGCTGCTGGAAATTAATACCAGCTATCAATGCAATCCTAAGCAGAGTTACACCATTTACTTTAAAGGACTTAGAATGCTGTATCTGTTTAGGACATCATTGTAAGACAGCAATGATCACGATGGTGGCACCAACTCCAAATGGTGCTTGACTAAGGCTGGACTGTGCCTAGAATTTGCAGTTTCATTAATGAGCTGAACTAATGTGATTTTGTTTTTCCAAATTCCCACAGCTACCGATGCTTATCTCTTCTCTACCTGAGAATGTTTAAATTAAAGAAGGACCATGCTATGAAGTACTCCAGATCGCTGATGGAATACTTTAAGGTGACCATCATCTTATTTCATTTCTTTTAACATAGAATGATGTCTGTTCCCATCCACACCCCCATTATGACATCACCCCGATATTGCAGACAGCCTGCTAGGCCTCCAGGCAGACTGTTTTTACAGCAATGATTGCTTGCCTATATTTTTGGGAGCATGACTGTCATCACATAGAGAGTTGGCTGCTTGTAACATCCAGCGACACAGTAAGGTCAGCATAATCAGCTGACCCCGTGGTTGCTGTGATCATACCATGCTGCCCTAGGTATGAGGAAGACTTAGCAGTGTCTATGCATGTATGTCTTATGTTACAGTAGAGGTTCTCCGGCTGTGGGCCAGGACTCTCTTGCAGGCAGGTTACAAGAGTCAGGAGGGAGGAGGGAGGTAAGCTGGGAGAGGAGTCTGGGCAATTTGGGGTTTGCCTCTGCACAGAATATCCCAAGCCTGTTGCTCAGTAATACCATATATGATTAAATACTACAAATTATTTTTTTTTAAAAAAAAATGTTATTCCATGTTCACTGGTACTGGATTATTACATTTTATGTTGTGGAACAATCTCATGGAGTTATTTTGCAAGTGGTTATCAGGAGACACAGTGGGTTTTCCACGCAACCTCAATTAATTCTCCTCCTTACTACATCCTACATGCCACATAGATTTTGTCCATGCAGGCCCCATGTTCCCCAGTATAGCCTTTTCAGCGGTCAAAAGGGACCCATCATCCCCTTTTCACCAGTGAAAGAGCTGATTGGATTCAACCTAGTAAGTTTAGAAGTGGCTGCTGCATCAAAAATGTTGAGATCTTTGGTGTTACAGAGATAATAATTCTGGAGTGGTAGCTATGTTAGTCTCCTGTAGCAAAGTCATTTGCCTCTGCACAGAATATGCAAAGCCTTTGCTCAGTAATGCTATATATGATTAAGTACTACAAATTATTTTTTTTAATGTTGTTCCATATTCACTGGTACTGAATTATTACATTTTATGTTGTGGAACAATCTCATGGAGTTATTTTGCAAGTGGTTATCAGGAGACACAGTGGGTTTTCCACGCAACCTCAATTAATTCTCCTCCTTACTACATCCTACATGCCACATAGATTTTGTCCATGCAGGCCCCATGTTCCCCAGTATAGCCTTTTCAGCGGTCAAAAGGGACCCATCATCCCCTTTTCACCAGTGAAAGAGCTGATTGGATTCAACCTAGTAAGTTTAGAAGTGGCTGCTGCATCAAAAATGTTGAGATCTTTGGTGTTACAGAGATAATAATTCTGGAGTGGTAGCTATGTTAGTCTCCTGTAGCAAAGTCAACCAGTAGCACCTTAGAGCATCCTAAAGGATAAATTAAAAAAGCTATTATTAGCGGTAGTGCTCCCTCTAAGCTGTGGAGTCTTGTGAGCAAAAATTCTATTTTGTAAGCTACTGGTATTAAAGTTGTGAGCAACCAATTTGCCTACTGCATAAATTAGTTTGCTCTGGAGCCATCCTTCCTGAGCTAATATAAAAATTTGTGAGCCAGAGGCTTAAAAACTGTGAGCTTGCTCACACTAACTCATCTTAGAGGGAACAGTGAGCGGCCTCTGAGAGCTGTATGCTGAGAGCTGGGATCTAAATCTTTTAAATGCAATCTGGACATCCACTGCAATGGTTCTCAAACTTGGAGAGTCCAAGCTTAGCTGCCTCAGCAAGTTCTGCCACCACCCATGGTGCAAGTTTACCGAGAATCATCTGCTACAGGATGCAATTTCCCCTTGTTTCCAGTTCTCATCCTCAGGTTTTTGTGTTCTGATTAAAAGTTTGCCAATTCCCCCACAAGGTGAAAGGCACACATTGCAGAAGGAATTTCAGATAAGGATAATTAAACCACTTCTTCATGAACGGTGTCTGATTTATGCTGGAGTTCTGGTATATTGTGCCTTTCATCGAATTCTGTCCCACTGGTTAGAGCCCGCTAATTATCTAGCCAGGTTTTTTGCCCCTTTTTAGCTTAAAAGGGATTATTATGCTGAGTTCTATAAATAAAATGTTCTGCTTTGCTATTGAAATACCAAGTGCCTTCCATGTCTTGTGGTAATCAATATTAATGCAATTTAAAATCTTCCTTTGTGTCTGCTGCTGAATGAACAAAGACTGCTCTCTTTATTCTTAATCTTGGTTCCCCTTACAGAATTCTTCGAAAGTTTCACAGGCCCCTTCTCCTTGGGGAGGCAATGGAAAGTGAGTATTCACTGAAATGAGTAGTTAATGGCTTATATGGTGATTTTTAAACATATATATATATAATAAACTATTGTATTATGTCATGATAATCTACAAGTGACACTTTGCCATGAACGATGGAAAAAAGGTTCATGTGGATTGATTGATCCCAAATTCTTCATCAGGTTGGTTTTTAAAGCCAAACGAGGGCCATAAAAATAGCTGTTAATTGGATAGAAAGTACAGTGTCGTTCCAGGACGCCAAAGTACAGTTAATCTCCAGGGCAATGATTTTTTTTCAATGATTTGTTCAGTAATGAAAGACCAATGAATATTTCATTGATATATGGTAAGTGCTGTTTAATAAAACTGGAGGCGTAATCGTGGTGAATAACATGAAGGCACTTAGTCAACCAATTATCCGAGCCCTTCTATTAATGCTAAAACATCCCCATCTCAAACCTGGAATCAAATTCCAGCGTCAGTCAGCCATGCATGTGCGTGCGGGTTTTTTCCCACTCTCCGCACACGCTTCACATTCATTTACCTTGGAACAGGCCTTCAGAGCATATGAATCACCTTGCTTGCTAAAGCCAAGCAGCCATCTATGGTGGCTTACTGGTGGTGGTGGAAAGTACTGTCAAGTCACACACACAGGTTAAGTGTGCGGACTCTAATCTGGGAGAACCGGGTTTGATTCCCCACTCCTCCACTTGCACCTGCTGATGTGACCTTGGGTCAGTAGCAAGCTCTGGCACAGCTGTCCTTGAAAAAGAGCAGTTTGTGTCAGAGCTCTCTCAGCCCCACCCACCCCACAGGATGTCTGTTGTGGGGAGGGGAAGGGAAAGGAGTTTGTAAACCGCTCTGAGACACCTTCGGGTAGTGAAGGGCGGGGTATAAATCCAATCTCTTCTTCTTCTTCTTACGGCAACCCCATAGGGTTTTCAAGGCAAGAGACTTCAGATGTGGTTTGCCATTGCCTGCCTCCGTGTCATTCCTTGGAGGTCTCCCATCCAAATACTAGTGAGGGCCAACCCTGCTTAGCTTCTGAGATCCGATGAGATTCGGCTAGCCTGGGCTATCAAGGTCAGGAGTGGCTTACTACTAGGTGATCAGTAAACCTTCTTTTGCTGACTCCTAGGACTATGAAAACAGGAGGGGTTGTCATGAAAAGCACAGTATGTGTCTGGGGGAGGGGATGTCTTTGTTTGGCTTGGTGCAACACAAGTTGCACAGACTTACCATGGGCAGGTGCTGATTTTGAACAAGAGGAACAAACTGATTGCAGGCTTCTGTGCTGCTGGCTGGATATAGTGCACAACTGGGGCATGTAAGAAGGTAGCCTGGTAAACAGCTATGGCCTTGGGTTTGGGACTTCAGTGTTCCAATCCCTGCTCAATCATGAAACTCACTGCATGGCCATGTGCAAGTCATTTTCCCTTCCATGTGTACCTACATTTCAAGATTATTGTGAAGAATTTCCTGAACGCTGTATTTTGCCAAGCCTGGTCTTACACTAGTCCTATGGTCCATCTGTAGATTTTAATAGGATGAGAAAGCTGTAGCATGTTTGGACTGCAGGGATATTCACTGTGTGGCAGCTCATATGACCCTGGTTCACAAAGGGGAAAGCATCCTCTTTGTCACACTTTTTCAGTACCTTAAACTGTCCCGGGGAATACCTCAAAAGACAGTTGTCGCTAACCATGTTCCAGTTTGGTCCACCTTTTGGAAAACATTATCAAATGTACCAAGGTTGACTCATCATGGATCCTTTGCAACTCCAGCTCAGCATATTTGTACATTTTCAGCAAGTCAAATAACTGTGTGAACCAAACTGAAGGACTGGAACAGCTGCTAAGTTTCCCATGGAGATGCCAGAGATGCCCTCCTTGTGGTGACTGATGTCCATCTTAGCTGGGAGTGTTTTCAACATGAACCCAGGCAAATCACATGGTCAGCCTCCATAATCTCCTCCGCAGCTGTCATGAAGGTAGAGCCAAAGCTTGGAGACTGTAAGCATAATGGTCCCAACCCACATAGCAGTGGTTTCCAAATGTCACAGCAGGATGGGTGGTAAATGGACAGGAAGAGACCATATGTGGGCAAACATAACATGTGCCCAAGCCCACTGCTCTTGGAAGAGGACATACCCATTTTGCCTTACAAAACATGAATGGGCCATTTCAAATTTTCAAATCTACAGACTTGATTAACAATCTTTCTTGGGAACCCTGGAACATTTATTTATTTATTCTACTCCGCCTCTCCCCTGGGTCAGAGGTTCAAGGTGGCTCACAAAATTCAATAAAACAATCTATAAATAGAGATAAAACATACTTACAAAACATTAAATTACAATTCATAAAACAGCATACCAGCTGAGGCATCAGAATGAAAAATGATAATCTGGCACCTGGCAACTGACATCCCAGGTTGCTGTCAAAAACAGGCAGCACTGCTAATAGGTGGTGGAAAACTGGCCTTGGCTGTCCTCAACGGACAGCCTGGCAGAAGAATTCCATCTTACCAGCCATTCAGATCCCACAAGGCTCAGATGTTATCTAGCACAGAGTCCCACCAGGCAGGGGCTAGTATCGAAAAAGCTCTTGCCCTCATTGAGGACAGTTGAGCTACCTGTGGGCCAGGCACCACCAGCAGACCACATGATGAAAAAATTGTAGTTCTGTTTAGGAGGGCTGCAGATCTCTAGTAGCTGCACCGACCTACATATCCCAGGATTCTCTGTGGCAAGTCAAGGGATATAAAACCAGTATCTTTATAGCACGGATAAATAAAGTCACGTTACATACAGTGGTAATATGGGATTTTGCATCAGCTGCAAACATTTAAGATAAGGGTTTGTGAAACCTTGTTGCCAAAGAAAAAGATTTCATTGACTTTTCCTTAAATGTGCACGACTGCAGTGAGCAGCTCCACAGAGCTGTCCTAGTCAGCAGATGTTTCCTAATTGCTGGTGTTAGAATTAAAAGGAAATCCATATGCAAGCATTAGCTTTGCAACAAACAGGTAACTTAAAGCACAGCTTCTTCTAAAACATTGCCCAGATAAACTGGCACCAGATAGAAGCAAATCTTAACAGCCGTTCTTCAAGGGCCCTATAGAAATATTTTTGATTCCATTGCTTGCATGCATCTTTCCTTGTGCTCTTTCACGGAGAGTTTTCCACAGTGGTGCTTTGTGTAGTGTGGGGGGGGAGGGGGGATTGTGGTGTGCAGCAGACTGCCACTGCTCTTCACACCAGATGCTTGGAGGATAAGCCAATAATACGGATTGAGTGTTTCCCTAACAGCCATTAGGAAAATCATTACAGCTATGAGACCCTTTTATGAAAGGGTTATAATTTTGACACACAGATTTTTGCTAGTAACTTGAACACAAATAGCACCTCAGGTACAATTGATTAATTCCAGACAAACAAACAAAATAGCAATATCTGTTCCTCATTGGCATAATTCAGGTATCATGGTGAAGCATGGCTTTCTACTACATAAACAAGCCTGGGGGGATCTGCAGGCTTGTATGTTCCCCTTCCTCCTCCTCTCACTCATGGGACGGTAATTACTTATTTCTAGCCTTGGGTCAAACCATTTTTATATTGGAACCATCCAACTCTAGTTTGTGTTTTCCTGACAACTAGAGTTGCCAACTCCAGGTTGGAAGATTCCTGGATATTTGGGGGTAGAGCCGGGAGTAGAATGCTATAGAGTCCACCCTTCAAAGTTGCCCTTTCCCCAGGCAAACTGCTCTCTGTAATCTGGAGATGAGTCGTGATCCTGGGAAGTTTCCTAGAGGTTGGCAATCCTACTGCCAACCAATATTCCAAATCTAGGATCAAAACCATCAGAGGTGGATTGGACCTGTAATTTATAGCCAGAACACCAGCAGGACAACAAGGCCCTCCTAGTTTGGACCCAGTCAGCAGCGGCAATGGCAGGTGTAGACTCACCCACCATCTTCTCCAGCTGTCACAACAGAACCAGGGGGCCAGGCAGAGAGTGAGAATTTACAGTTCAGTCCGTGAGTCAAAGCCAGAAAGATCAAAAACAAGCAGAGCCAGTGTCCCAATACACAAAGCCAAGCCGTAGTCAGAGTGTTACCAAGGGTCAGAGTCCAAAGAAGCGAGTGTCGAATGTCAGGGTGCAGAGCCGAGGATCAAGAGCCAGAGAGTCGTCAAAACGTGGACTTGATTCAGGAACCAGGAAGTCAGTCAGTACAGGATCTCAGGAACAGCGTCAGAGGTGCAAAGCTTCTGGTCCGAAGGACTAGTTTGCCAGCACGATTTGCCAGCAGTCAGTGACCTGTTCAAATAGTGTGCTGGGTCATTAACTCATTAGCACTGCCTTGCGAAGTCCTTGATTCTATTAGAACTCCGGGCTCATTGTTCTCCGACCGTGGTGGAGAATCGGGTGGCATACTGCTGCGGCCAGGCACTGCCTGATCGGCTTCAGGTACAAGCTGTCCTGGGGTTTGGTATTCATCCTCTCTGGCACTTAGGTTTGGCAAGGACTCTTGTGCCTCTGATGATGTTAAAGGCACGGAGTCCTCCGTTTCAGAGCTCCCAGGTGCCGTATCGGGGGCAGGCATGACACCAGCACTAGCCCAGGTGAGACAAACAATGGTCCTGTTCACACTTGCCAGGAAACGCAGAGGGGAGGCGTGGCTGTTTGCGCTGGTACAGTGTGTCCCACTGCAAACACGATCAGACGGGACGGCAGTTTCCTTCCTCGGGGCACGTTCCCGCCGCGCTCCAACAACGCAAGAGGAGCGTGCTGGAGCAATCACACAAAGAGAGTCTGGCAGCGGCCCGTCGCAAACTGTTTGCTACTGGACTTTACGAGGTAGCTTTTTACTCCGCATCTTCGGCTGGCTGCAATGGGTGCGCTACGCTGGCCAGATGTTGCTGTGTGATCGCGCCCTTATAATCTGCCCGGCATTCTTGCCGCTACCGTGGCAACTCCTGCGTCTGATCAGGGGCAATGTGTAGTTTATGCATTCATATGCACTGGAAAACCAGGTGTTCTGCAAAGTTAGGAATAACTGATTGGCTGGCTGAACTCATCAAGAGAATAGAGGGGGAGGAGAGAGTCCAAGTATTCCCCATGCCTGTTCCCTTAGCAGCAAACCATGGTTAGCCATTCCACCTGAAGCACAGCATCATGTACCAATCATAGTTACAGTGGATTCTACTTGCAACGTTATTAATAATAATTTAAATAGTCCTTTTAGTGGGCACATTTTTCTTCCAGGTTTTTTTCCTGCTTAGTCTCACAGCTACCTTAAAAAAGATCATTTTTTAAATATTAGACAAAAAAAACCTGGTATGCGCTTTGGAGTGGGGGGGGGGAATCCAGCTGACAGAATTGAACTTGTCACAATATCCAGCAGATTAATTGTCAAACATTGTAATGATGTTAATAAAATATGCAAATTAGCTACAGCCTTAAGGCTCATGATGGGCCTCCATTGGGAATCTTGGGGACTGAAAAAGTATCACGTTGCTGGATTCTTTTTTAATTTAGCAGCCTGGAAATAATGTTCAGAGGGAGAGGAGAAAATTTGAAGAGGGCTTTTTTATCATCATTTTGAGTTATCAAAGTTCTCTCTTTGGAAAGACCCCTGCCTGAACCTCTGGAGAACAGCTGCCAGTCAAATAGACAGTACTAGGCAGAAACAGCTTCTTGTATTCAGACGTATTCATTCAGCCTGATGAAGCAGTGATCATGTGAGAAAGCAGATTACAGCAAGTTCCATGCTTCTCTGAAAGCAGTTGTAGAAACATAGGAAGTGCTACAACTTTACATTGGTTTTACCCCTAGTTCACCTGTCATGGCTACTCCCAAAGATTCCTGGGAACTGTAGTTTGGTAAGAGCACCGGGGATTCTCTGTTAGAAGTCCCTAACACTTCTTACCAGAAGGAGAAAAACTGACTGTTTTAATTTAGAATGTAGATCTGGCCAAATGCTTGGATGTTGGTTTAGCAATCTTGAAGCAGGAGGGTTTACAGAAAAAGATATGTATGCCTTTTGCTTCTCCTTGCAAACTGCTTGGTGCTATATTGCTAAGCAAAAAGTGTGGGAAGTCCCCTTGGAAGAAAATTCTTCTCAGAGGTTCCCATGGCAACAAGACAAATTCAGATCTGGTCACACATATTTTGCACAGGCCGGTGCTGATATTGCATATTCCTTGAGCTGTGAGGTCAGCTATATGGGACAATAGGAAGATTACGAGTGCCTTGTTTTGTGTGTGTGCTTTGGGAGCTGGAAGTGCACATATCCACCATCTTTGAAATCTGTTTGATATGTCATTCCAGGGATTGCTCGACTGACTTCTTCAAAGTGACATTGAGATCTCTACTGCCTGTAGCATAAGCAAACCAGGCCATTGCCTTTGAGATTCCCTCTCCCTTGAGGCTCACCTGGTGCCTACCTTACATTCCTGTAGGCACAAGGAGCAAACATCTGGCTTTACTTAGGCTTTTAACAAAGGGGTTCCTTTTTAGTTGCTTTATGGTCTGTACCTAGACTGAGACTTGTTTTAGTAATATCATTTCTGAATTAAGTTCCTTTTATGTGATTTGATGTCCTGGCTTTTTAAATTGTTTTTATTGGCACGAGTTTACTGATCTGTTTTTATTCTACTGGCCTGGCTTGTTTTTTTGCGTGATTTGTTTTACTGACTCATTTTATTGTGAGCTGCCTTGAAGAGATCTGGAGAGGCAGCATACGGAAATAATGAATGAATGAATGAATGAATGAATGAATGAATGAATGCCTAACAAGGAGGACATTTTCTTCTCTGACACTGAATCTGACCCTATTTTCCTTTCACCAGGAGCACAGAAACACCATCTCCTATGTCCTTGAGCCCATCGCCCATCAGCTCTCTTGGGACTGCCACAGGCACTGCAGGGTCCTCCTCTGCAGGGACCATCACCATTCCCCAGCGCATTCACCACATGGCTGCCAGCCACGTCAACATCACCAACAACGTCCTACGGAGCTACGAGCACTGGGACATGGCCGACAAGCTGACAAAAGAGAACAAAGGTGCACCTTTCACTCTTCCTCTGTTCTAAGGAATGAAAAATTAAGTGCAGTAGCTCACTGTCTGGTTACAGCCTGGGAATAACACCTCCAGTCTTGTGAGCCGAAAGGATATGCTTATTTCCTGTTTTGCACCCTTGTTGCTTGCTGTATTCTTATTTCCCCAAATGGATAGCCCCACATAAGGATAATCACCAAGGTCTCGTTTTCTTTGGTTTTAATAAAAGGGTGTGGCTAGACTTCATAGTTTACAAGGAAATTTAGGAGAATATCCCTGCTCATCTATATACATAAAAGAAAGTCCCCTCACCATAAAATCAATGCCCAGGCCAAACCCCTGCACCTAGAAACATGAAATTTGGGGAGAGCACTCCTACCATGACATAGATACTCACTAACAAGGGGTTTTTAGAATTTCAACCCCTAAGGGGTTCAAAAGGGGTAAAATGTGCTTCCTTTGTGGCTGCCAGGCTGCTGCCTCCTTGCACCCCCCATTCTCTGATTGGTCAGATGCAAAGCTCAGTGTTCTGAGGTTAAAAAAACCAGTTACAGGAGACTGCAGAGAGCTAATGACAGTTGAGGAAATCAGGAATGGCCAAATACCTGTGAGGTGTAGCAGTGCTGCTGGCCCAGCCTCCCTGATGGCTTCAAACACGTCCCCCCCACACCTCCTACATCTGACAGGTGGCTGTCTGTCAGGTGCAGCAGTGGGTGCAGGGTGCTTAAAGCCATCAGGGAGCCTGTCCCAGCAGTAACACCTTAGTGATCCTGCTGGCCCAGCCTCCACAATGGCTTGCAATACCCCTTCCCCTCCTACACTGGACAGGCAGTTGCCTGTCAGGTGCAGGAGAGGGGGTGGGATGCTTACAGTCATTGGGGAGGCTTGCTCAGCAGGATTGCCTTAGTGCTGCTGCTGGCCCAGCCTCCCTGGTGCCCTTAAATACAATCCCTCTCCTTACACCAGACAGGCAAGTGCCTGTCAGGTGTAGGAGCAGGGCCGGGGTACTTTAATCCATCAGGGAGGCCACCCAAGCAGAAACACCCTAGCAATGCTGCTGGGCCAGCCTCCCCAATGGCTTTAGCCTTACTGCTCCTGCTGGCCCAGCCTATTCGATGCCTTTAAACACAACCCCCCCCTTATACCAGACAGGCGGGTGTTTGTCAGGTGTAGGAGCATGACCACACTCCCACCCACTATGGATATATACCCCAAATTTGTAGAAAAGTGGTTTTGTGTATTAGGTTATTTAACTTCTCACAATGTGGGTTCCAGAAAATTTCTTTCATATGAATTTGCTCAGTATCTTATTGCTCAGATGTTGCTTTGAATACATAGTTATGTCCCACTTCTTAAATGTAACTTAAATGAGAGGCATTTTTCTAAAAAGAGGGGGGTATGCCCTGCACCCCCCCAAAAAAAAATCAATTCCCAGGCCAAACCCCTGCACCAAGAAACCCAAAATAAGGGTAGTGCATTCATACCATGACGTCAGCCCCCACTATGAAGATATTTCTGAGAAACACAACCCCAAAGGGGGTAAAAAAGGGGGCAAAATGTGTTCCCCCAATTGTTTTCCATGTGCCTGGCAGGCTGCTGCCTCCTTGCCCTCCCCCCGATTGGTCAACTGTGTAGCTCAGAGTTCTAAGGTAAAACTTTCCTGCTTGCACCCACCTCCCTCTGATTGCTCAGCTGTGGATCTCAACATTCTGAGATAAAAACAGTTAAAAGAGACGGCAGACAGTTGAGGACAGTTACAGAAATCAGTGATTCAATACTCTTTTTTAAAAAATCATCTTTATTAATTTTAAATTAATGTACAATACAGCGTAAATGCGGCCTTTCTGGTAAGTCCACCTCTGTAGGTGGTTTCTTTTAGCTACAGATTTTCGGCCTGAAGGGCCGGATCGGGGACGGGTGCACAACTCTTCTCAGATGTTGCGGTGGAATCACGCCCATTTGCTGTGCCCCCGATCCGTCCCTCTTCCGGCCCTAAACCTCCCATGTGACCGGGGCCAGAAATCAGCAATTCAAGATGCCTGAATAGATAGTTCTCATAACAGCCAGCATGGCAATTGAGTTTCTGAATGTTCATGGGGAGATAGTAAAGGACCTTTCTAGGAGTGATCTATAGAGAGGTCCTTCAGTAGAGGTGGGGAAACAGTATGTATGTTTCATTTCATTTTTTACACTACAATCTCCTCCATTAGAATTCCTACAACAAATGTTACATTTCAAACTTCACATCGTCAGTATTATAACTGGATTTACAGAACTTAAATTCTGTAGTGAAGCACGGGTATCAGGCTAGTTCTACCTATATATCTTTTCTCTCCCTGCCCTTTTTCCAAGTATGAAATAACAAAATCAGTATCATTTATGAATGGGGACACATGTAAAATTCATACAAACAATGGCCATATAAAAATCAAGCTGCCTTGCCTTCTAGAAAAGTCACAATTTGTACTTTCATAAATGATACTGTGCATTTTCTATTTGGGAGCAGATTTCCAAGTTGAAAAATTCCAGACAGGTGGTCTGCTGCTACCAAAATAACACAGTCTTGCGGCATCTTAAAGCTGAACTAAAAGAAGACCCCCAACAAGAAGTTGCTTGGCCTTATGCAAATTTGATACCATCAGCATTGTATTCAGTTACAATTAGGACTGGTTAGGTCACTACCAGTGCAATGCCCATTGTAACTCTGATTAGGACAGCACTGCAAAGAGAGTAATTATCCTTCCTTATGGTACTTGTATTCATTCTACTCTGCTGACCTACCAACAGCTGAGAGTAATCCATACCAACTCTGAGTGAATCATTTACTCTTTTGCTTTCATTTGTGTTCTGCAATATAACATAACACATTTTACATCTTGGCATACTGAATCCTCTTTGTAATAACTCCCTACCGTTGTTCTCCTGTTTCCAGCCAACTGAACATAACACTTCATACATCTGATGGGGAAGGGGTTGCCTCACAAAAGCTTCTGTCACATTAAATTTGTTAGTCTTCAAAGTGCCACAAAACTCTTTCATTATTCAAAACCCTTTCATTATTTAAAAAAAACGCAATAGTCCTGCAAATGAGGCCATGGAAACAAGGTGGATATAGTGTGGGTGATCAGCCACAAAAAAAAATAGCATCGAGTGAGAGCTGATTAAGAGAATTTCACATTTTAGAGTTTGAATGACATCTGGATTTGCGGGTTTTCCAGTCATCATCTGCCTTAGGTGTCAACTTCTGTCTATGTACCTATCACTTTTTTCCCCAAAAGCCTAAGCAGGAAAAATCAATTAGATTCTGGCTGGGGATGGCATGCCTGTTGTCAGGCTTGCTTTGACAAAGCAGCTGAAAATCCTGACCTTCAGTCTGCCACGAGTCCATGATTCATCCCATGGATTCAAACTAATACCGGATCTTTACTGCGAGATGACTTGCATAGAGCAAGAGGACATGAGTGGCTGACAAGCATTTGAACGGGGGTTACAGTTGCGTAACTAAAGTTTGGATTTGGTGAGATAACTATGGATTAGTAGCCATCATCATAAGAACATTGTTTCCTCCTGGAAGGGTATTTAACTATGGATTAGTAGCCATCATCATAAGAACATTGTTACCTCCTGGAAGAGTATTGGCTATCTTAGCCTTGGTGAGACACTTCAGATCTTACTGGTTCCAATCGGTTCAGAAAATTCTCTGCCTTTTGGGATATATGGCTTCTTCCATCACAGTCCTGCCTATGGCGAGGTTACATATGTGACCCCTGTAGCTCTGGGTTCTATCTTGTTATAGAGCTGGGGTTCATGCCTCATGGCACAAATTCTCTATTCCCAGACCTGTCGTATGTTCTTTACTGTGGTGGTCTTCTATGGATAATTTATCCCAGGGGATTTCCTTCAGAGTTTCTGAACATGAGGTAGTCCATTGTTCATCAAGTATCTTCTGTGCAGGCACTCATATCCTCCCTCCTGCTCTACTGCATGCTCTGGCTTTGGCAACAGTAGAGGTACTGAGGGTAAGGAGCCGCTGCTGCACAGGAACACATGGTCCCTGGGCAGGAACAAGCTTCTGACTTCAGTGCACAGCGCCCCCTGAAGACTTTTAGCTGTAAAGACCTATCCAATGGCAGGCCTGCTCATGCACAGTCCCATATTTTGCACAGAAGATATTTGAAGAACAATAGTTACAGGTAGGTACAATTGTGTTTTCTCTTTACTGCAGCCTTGTGCTGCATGGTTTTTGTCAAGGCAGTCTCCCATGATTGCCAGCACAGCTTTTTTGGGTCATCAAAGGGGACTCCTTCCTCCCCTTTTCACCAGTCAAACTGGATCAAAAAGGTTTCACCAACTGGAAAGCTTGGTTCTAACCCAGTCATTCAATATTGCTGGATTAGACCAATGAAGAGGAAAATCCATTCAAAGACACCAAAATTAGGGACCACCGGTAAAGCATATTTTACAGGAGGCTGGTTGGTTGCATGGCATGAGATTTTTTTCTTAATAAAACAAACAAAAGGATGCTAGCCAGAGCAGTTCAGGTGCTCAGTCAGCAGACAGAAAACACACCTAGCTATTATCATTCTGAAACCTAAGCGCAGAGAAAATCGGCAGCCGCAATTCCACGATTCCAATTTTTTTTCATTGCTTTTTTTTTTGATGCTCAAATAATACCAGTCACCAGAATCCTTAAAAGAAAACTTGCCCATCTGTGAAAAAAGCTGATCTGTTAGATTCAGGCTGTGTTTTAGACTGAAAAAGGGAAAGACAGATTCCTCCTCTGAAAGGGAAACAAGTTACAATCACAGTATAGCTGTGGTGGATACCTATTGGCTAGCACATGTGAAATCAATGATATGCATCCCGTCTGTCTGATCTCCAGTGCAGTTAGGAATCTACACGCATCCATACAACTGGTTTGAAGGAGGAAAGTTCTCTGATGACACATCCCAGTCTTTTGGTTATGCCATTGCTTTTGAAAAAGAAAAAAGGGTAATCTTTATATTGATAGCACTCTGTTTTTCATGTTTAAACTTTGAACACTACAAATCTATGCATACTTTTACCATAAGCCCCCTGAAATCAGTGGTACTTATTTCAAAGTCAATGAGTACTGGATTGTGCTGTATCACTGTTCCCCTGCCCAAAACATGCCATATACACTGTGCCTTGCCAAAAATTTTAGCAACGTTTTTAGACTTTGTTGATGATAACTTGGAAACTCTTTTAAACCCACGGAGTGCTTAAGCATGGAAAACTAATAAATTAAAGCAAGACAAAGTTCATGTTACTATGCTTGGCAAATTGGTTTATTGTACCCACTTTCCGAGAGTGGCAGAAAATGACCTCTCTTCTTATTTTGCAGAGTTCTTCATAGACCTGGACTCCGTGATGGGTCCCTTAACACAACACAGCAGTATGACCAACTTGGTCCGTTATGTTCGGCAAGGACTCCATTGGCTTCGCATTGAAGCACATTTGTTGTAGTGACTGCCATCCCGTTCATCACTGCTCCGTCCTGTTACTTCAGCCAGCGCACAGGTGATCACTGGTGGAACACCACTTTTTTCTGAAACAGTACTCATAGAGCTTCATTTTTATTGCTTTTTTCCCTCCTTAAAACAAAACAAGAAAGAAAGAAGTTATTCTCCTCTGTCAGAAGTGGAACTCATCATAAATGGAAAAATGTGGCTCCAGAAGCAGGGTACATGTTTGTACCGTTTAATCATTCTTGGACTCTTTTATTTGCCTTGCTTCTCCTGGATCCTGCCATTCTTGCCATCCATAATGTGCTTTATGGAATGGTAGATTCCCAGCAGTATTGTATTTTGTTGCAGATACGGATTCTTGAGCAAAATGTCTTAAATCTTTGAGGGCAAGTATGAAAAGTCCCCTTCAACCTGTCCGATTGGAACTCTCCCTTTGGACACAAACCATGTCATTCACTGCACCACTATTTGATGCAAGTCATTGTTAAAATTTCATCAACTCTGTCCCTGAAAACCAGAACATTGAACGTCTTGTGCGGTTACAGCCCTGCGTGTCTAGCGCAAGAGCTATGGGAGTTTTTTATATCAATTCCTTAGAAATGGGATTTTGTGGTTCTGTTCTGTTGATTTGACTTACAGTTTTAGCACAACAGTACGATGCTGTTTTTAAGCCTATTGGAGCACGCTTTCAGTCCATGCTATCATATTTTGAACACAAAAGCACCTGGCCTGCCTTGCTTTAGGGCCTATCTGCATAACTCTAAAATGAGACATCTGGAAGGAGCTGGGTGTGTGGCTTCTGGACTAGATGTGTCTGGTACTTCTGCCCTAGTTGGTCTCTGCCACATGGCCATCAAGAATCTATATGGGCATGTACTGCTGGGTACTGCAGTGCTGAAGGAGCCACTGGGAAGTCCACCATGGTGCACCTCCAGGCTGGCCTTTAGAAACTAGCATGAGCAAATGTATCATCACTTCATGGCCCTGCTAGCCTTTGACAGCATAGAGATGTGGTCTGAAGGCATATGATGCAGCAACTTTGCTGAAGCTAAGCAAACTCATGTCTATCCAAGGCATAGGTAGAAAACCACATGGGACATCTGGGTACACTGCCCTAAGCTCCCTAAAGCAGGCAGAATATGAATGCAGTACATAAGAATAGTGCACATGTGCACCAGGGTGGCATCAGTAACGCTCAGCCTGCCTCCCTCTTTCCCACTCAGGCGTATCCGCTGGTATATATGTGAACACCCTACTCCATTCCCCATGCAGCCTACATGCCTGGCTTCCTGCACTCACTATGGCTGTGTTTCTGTGGTATGCAGTTGTTCTTGGGATAGTTCCTGGTTGAATGCTACACTATGTGGGACACCGCCAGGTGCACACCTTTGCAAAGGAATCCATTAAGACACTAATGGAACAATGCAGTCCCGGTTTCCAGTACTCTAAGCAGTAAGAGATGCCTGCATGGGGCTTCCATAGCTGCACTTGAAATATGGAGCTCCATGAGATCACAGTGCTCATTTCCCTTGTGCTCACTTCCATCTCCCTGCACCTCCTAGCACAATCCGGGGGGGGGGGAATCCTGCTTGTGCAAACACCAAGATGCACGGAACGCTGTACAGTACAAAGTTGTACAGTCCTTCTAGTAGACCGCAGTTGAAATTCATAGTAGAGGCTCACATGCAGGGCTTAGCTGGTGCTCTGACTTCCCAGTGCTCAGTCCCGTCATCTGTTTCCAACATTGGGGCACAAGCCTGAAGCATTGGAAGCAATACCAAGGGAAAGTACCCCTATGCAGAGTGCATTTCCTTCACCACGGAAAGTCCCCATCCTCCAAGAATTAGGGAAGGGCTTCCAGATTTTTTTTTGGGGGGGACACTAGGTGTCCACACAGACTTCCACCCTGTCATTGATAGCTTGGATCCAGAAAGTGCTGAGCATGAATAGAAGGTATGTCCCTTTGTGCAAGGGAAGAGATGTCTGATTGCCACTGACTCCCTCCCACTACAGCTACCAGTGTTGTAATGAATACCTTTGGGGCAGGTTTAAGGCTTACTGCTGCAGCAGTAAGGAGGGGGCAGAAAAGCCCCAATGTCCTGGGGACACTCTTTGGCTGGCAGCCTTTGTTCCCTAGAAAAGACACCCCATTCACAATTCTCATTATTTTGGACCAAGATATCCCATACCTCTTCGGACCAAAAGGGAATACATCAACGATCCCCTCTGTCTTTTTTGTTCGTTTGATTTCATCCATTGAATATAGGCTGCATCAATTTTACAACAAATAGCACAGAGTCTAAAAACAAATTAATTTGTTGTCCTGGTGAATAAACTTTATGCCATTTTGCTGCAGTGTCCTTGTGACTTAGCAATTTAACTGTAAATTTCACTTGGGGGAAAAAGCTGATTCCATGACAATGTAAATACCATTCTGTGTTGCATCTCTCTGAAATAATGTTCCATATGTAGTAGATAACAAGTAAGAGGAGAGTTAATTGTAGCTACATTCTCTTATATAATCCTGTATCCTCTACTGCTTGGTAACTAGCATTTCAAAGTTTCACACTGCTAGGATTTGAACCCAAGTCTTGCATCTGTGTGACAAGAGCATTTTAAATATTTCAACCCTCTTTCAATTTTTAAAATGTTCCCTTGCATACTTAAAAAAAAAAGTTGTGTTGATGTTTGTTGAGCAATTCACATCCCAGAAGATTTCATGGCACAAGAAAATTGCAGGAATGTCTCCAAAATGGGGAATGCACTCTGCAGTAATCATTATATTGGGTCAGTCTGCTGCAAGAGCAGAGACATCCAGAACAGAAACCAGTTTTCAGAGGTAGCTTTCACAAACGTACACTGTATGCAGTGAGGAGGGCACAGGCCGTCGGCACACCAGACTGCAGATTCTTGTCTGCTTTTGGCCCTGAGCCACAGATTTGCCACTGGGGTTTTCTGCCCATTTCGCCACCCCTCTCTGTGACTCCACCCCCCTTATACTGGAGGGAGAACTCAATAGAGGAATCCTCTTTTGCCACTGCTAACTATGTGGAGTTCTTGAGAACTGCTACAGTTGTGGATCTCTTGATCAGAGCCAAGTAATCTGGCATTTACTAGCCACCAATGTTCCCTCTAAGCTGTGGAGTCTTGTGAGCAAAAACTCTACTTTGTGAGTAACTGGCATTGAAGTTGTGAGCGAGCGATTTGGCTGCTGCAGAAATTAGTTTGCTCTGGAGCCCTCCTTCCTGAGCGAAGGCAAAAATCTGTGAGCTGGAGGCTAAAACACTGTGAGCTAGCTCACACCAACTCAGCTTAGAGGGAACATTGCTAGCTTTTGGCCCTGAGCCACAGATTTGCCACTGGGGTTTTCTGCCCATTTCCCCACCCCTCTCTGTGACTCCACCCCCTTATACTGGAGGGAGAACTCAATAGAGGAATCCTCTTTTGCCACTGCTAACTATGTGGAGTTCTTGAGAACTGCTACAGTTGTGGATCTCTTGATCAGAGCCAAGTAATCTGGCATTTACTAGCCACCAATGTTCCCTCTAAGCTGTGGAGTCTTGTGAGCAAAAACTCTACTTTGTGAGTAACTGGCATTGAAGTTGTGAGCGAGCGATTTGGCTGCTGCAGAAATTAGTTTGCTCTGGAGCCCTCCTTCCTGAGCGAAGGCAAAAATCTGTGAGCTGGAGGCTAAAACACTGTGAGCTAGCTCACACCAACTCAGCTTAGAGGGAACATTGCTAGCCACCCTAACCTTCTTTGTTCTAATCTGACTTGGAATCACAGATTCAGTTCATTGCAAGAACAATGTGGGGGTATAAAGGAGTTTTTTTTTTCTGATCATGCAGACCTTTTTTAGTATTATGATTGAAGTCCAGATGGGGGTTGCAGTAACCAAAGTTTTCCATCCTCTTTTTAGCCTTGCCAGTTAATGTACACTTGCCTGTTGGGTCCAGTAAAGTGCATTGTTCTTCCTTTGTTAGTTTATTGCAAGTGGAAATCCTAAACCACTGTGTACTTGACAAAGGATATTTACAAATGGAAATACTATCTTGAGCGACGACATTTTTTCCCCCAAAAGCATTATCTGTAACCACTCAGCAGGATTGGAGGGTGTTGGTTTTCTTCCTTGTAACGCACAGTAAACGGATGCCTTTTTCCAAGTTTAGCTTGCTTTCACATATCTGTTACCTAGGCAGATTAGTGGAGCCAATCTTTTTTTTTCCTTTTTGACAGCTCATGACCTTGGTCACTTCACACATGCCTGTTCATCACTTGGTTTCGCTATACTTGATAGTTCACCTGATGCCAGGCAGCTGAAATGTTAGGGACAGGGCAAATTCAGTGTTAAAGCTCAGTGGTAGAACACCTGCTTTGCAAGTAGAACATCCCAAGTTTGATCTCTGGCATCAGTTCTCTGGTAGCTGGACCTAGGAAAGACCTTCCTCTGCCTGAGACCCTGCAGAGCTGCTGCCAGTCAGAGAAGACAGTGCTGAGCTAGATGGGCCAATGTTCGGACCACTCTTACGGTTCACTGGGAAAGGGGCTTTGGCTTCGTGCTCCAGCTCTTCCTTCCACAGCTGCACCACCCAGTATCTCCCATAAAAGGACGGCAGGTAGAAGAGCTAAGAAAGGCTTTTCTGACTCTGAGGCACTTGTGAGCCACTGTCAGCCGAAAGAAGTGATTCTGAGCTAGGTGGACCAACGTGTGTGTTTATTTTACTTTGCTTGTACCCTGCCTTTCTCCCCAGTGAGGACCCAAAGCAAAGTGGCTCACACCGTTCTCCTCTCCTCTGTTTTATCCTCACAGCAACCATGTAAGATAGATTAGTCTGAGAGTATGTGCCTGCCCAAGGTCACCCAGTGAGCCTCCATGGCAGAAGTCAGAATTTGCACCTGGGTCTCCCAGTTCCTAGTCCCACGCTCTAACCACTGTACCATGCTGCCTCGGTATGAAATACCTTTATGAGTTTTGCCACTCCTTTCTTCTCGAAGAAC